GTCATGTCGTGTTAAATCGCGATTAAGCTCACATATTTAATCTTCTCGTAGATTAGGTACTTGTGAGAAACCCCCATTGTCCAAAAACCCACAAAAAGTCAAATTATCGCAGTACGACGGCGATCAAATCTCATCCAGATTCGATTTGGTAGTAAAAATGGGTAATTTACTTCACTTTCAGCATCATTAACTTAATAAATACAGTGCAAGTTGTTGACCAAAAAAAACTGGTTATCTACCACATTGCTTTATAAGTGTCGGATTTAAAAGAACAGTACGCCATGAGCAAAATTGCTATAATTTGAGGTGTTTTACACCTAAGTGTGAAGCGTCATTTTTTTAAAAAGCCGCAAATTAAACCTTCCGCATATACTTAAAATAGACACAACTGAACGTAATTAACAACTAGCTCTGACTTGTTTTGCCCAGTGATCCTATGTTAATAGTTAACCGTTTAACAGTGGAAACATGAACGTGCACAACCCAGATCTCAGCGCATTGTGCTAATCTTGACGTTCCATTTATTCTTAATATTACACTCCTAACTTGGAGATATTTTTAAATTCACTCGGCATCTTAATAACAGTTAGCAGAGGCCACAGAGTTGCTAAAAATTTCAAATAATACCACTACATTCATTCCATCTGACGTTAAAACGACGTCCTCTTGACGACGAGCCCCACGTCACTTCTGCGCCTTATAAGGCCGGTTTTTAATCTCCACATCTTACATGTTGTTGGAAATTGCGTCGCTAGCATGTGTCCAAATTGTGTAGTTCATGATCAGTATGACTGCCCATTCACAATGGACATAAGACATAAAAACGAGCGCATAACATAATTTACGTTTTTGGTTTGTGTCTGGCTTATGTTTATCTACGTTCACAGTGGACAGAGTGAACTTTGTAAGAATTGTTAAACTGCGCAAACGCAGAACGGAATAACTCCCGGCTAAACATAGAAACGGCTAACCTCAAACTGAGTCAATCAAAATATCTAACCTACAATTTCATACGATATTCGAACTTGACAACTCGCAGTACAGAACACACTCGCAGTGAGAAGCTTTGATTATAATTTATATAATATTATCAAAGGTGTGAAGTGCCAACTGTCAAAGGGAATTCAATAACAGCATTCAAAAGTCCCTAGATTTTAACATAATTTTGACATAATTCGTGCACAAAGTTGAACTTATTTCAACTTTGTGTACGCACACAAGGATTACATAAAACGTTCATAAGCATAAGAATTACGTTCGTCCACTGTGAACAGGGGTACACGTTTTCCATCGTTTCAACTTTACGTATTTATGTAAGCTTTATGTACTTGTTATGCCTTATGTCCATTGTGAATGGGCAGTGAGAGTTGAGTAGACACTTCTAGTCTTTAAGTTTGGGAACTTAGGCACTTCTGCGATACCTTGACCACAAACAACCTTTGTTTGTGTCGGGCCGACCTTACCTAACTCTAACTGTTGCGGTCGTATGCTGACTCGTCTAGACTAAATATGGCGTCCGTGCGCTAAAAATGGCTGAATATTCTAACCCTTGCCATTTCCATTATTGTCAAAGTTTGTGTAGAAGTGAACAATTGTGATAAATGCTGTCGTGTTTCAGCGATTACATAAATTATTTGCAACAATGGATTTCGTGACAAAAGATTTTTACTCAAAATTCCCACTAACTGTAGTAAATTGTAAAAGTCCACCATATTGGTGATGTCCATGTCTGTTTCTAATTATCAAAACGGGACAGATTCGTTCGAAATAATTTCCTTGTCGTTATGTAGCAGATTTCCTCGATCTAATCGATCGCTTAACAGTATTGCCAATGTCTCGTTAAAAACTGGAAATAATTAAACCATATTGAATGACTGCACCTCAAACCGTAATTATAGCTTATGTATAAACATAAGAGACAAATCGTGACTGTATTGTCCTTGACGTAAATCGCGTGCGCATGCGTCGCTTTGTCATAGGTCAAGAACATACTCAAAGGATACGATTTTGATACATTCAGCATCGTGGACGATAAATCAGCGGGATAAACTCACGATAATATATTGCTTGGACACCGCTCGCCAAGCTCGGCTAATTGCCATGACAGCGAAAGCGAGCTTTAACAGCGGCGCCGTTCACTCGATCTAACCCCTTCAAAACCGAAAATTGTGAAAACAAAATGTCGTTTTTTGGTTTTTGGACTGCCCTTGTTATACATGGTGTTTCTAGGCGTCAACGACGCGTCCATGTTAACAAGACCATAACAAATCTGATAACACGGTGCCCGAGGATTGCTTTATCCCGATGCAAAAAAGACGTAATTGGCTCTCGTAATTTACATTTTAATAAGTGCATGTCCTTTTGTAAAGGATAATGTGATCGCCGTAGCAAATCGGTTAGTAGGGCAGTTTCGCATGCTAGAGTAATTTTATAAAAATGGTAAAATTTCAACGCGATGTTCGAGTGTGATGTTTTACGTTTTAATGAGTACAAACTCATACAAAATAAAATTAACTGTTTACTGTTACCCAGTTATTAACATGACATTCTGTGCGTAGGCGGTTTCATTACGCCCGAACGTACCTAATCAGTTTTCCTCTTGAGAATTAGGCCGATTTTTTCGAATCGGAGAAAGTTGCAGTGGTCGTAATTAAGGATAAGAATCGTGATTTTCTTCATAAAGCAACAATATAAGTTCTTATCCTTATATGATGGTGAATGACATGCCGGCATTCCGAGAAGCACACTGCTTGTCAAAAACTCATTTATTTTTTAAATCTTGTCTCGTGCTACAAATTATGTACCCATTGTAACCAGAGTAACTAGGGCAGAAACAAATTCAACATATATGTCGATTTTTTGTCGCGTCCGAGAAGAAAGCAAAATTAGACACACGGCTCGAAATAGAAGGAAATTAAACTTGCAAAGGACGTTGGCATAACTGGACCTAAAATTCAACGACACTTGCTTCTAATGATTCGGCTTCTTATCCTTCCTCTTAAATTTACAGTTATGTGAATAAATGCGTTCAGGATTTTGTTTTGTAGGCACCTTTATGTACCTAAATTGCTACAATTCACTCAATTATTTTTTTCTATATTGGGTGTCGTAATTGGATTACTGTTTTTTGAAATTCCAATCATTACATTGGTCACGCTTGTTAGAACTTTCGAAGTATGCACGAACAACGAAAGAAAAAACATCTATAACTGTATGCATATATTGACACAGAGAATTTCCTCTTCGCTCAAGTATTGGCTTCTTCTTATTAAAAAACACTCGAGCTGAGAACAGATGCGAAAGTAATCATACAAGAATCGCAAATATCAATCTACCTATTTATTATAGTCAGATATAAAACAAATTTATCCTTGTAGTCATTATTTATAATAGCTTTGACAAATAATTCGCACTTGTGTGTACTATAAATCAACTTCTTTTTACTTTATCGAGCGAATAAGTGATAAATGACACTTAATAAGTATTTCGAAAAAAGTGGTTATGCTTATCCTCGATATTTACATTGTAAAGAAACTGTTTAATGACATCCTTTATATTTATTGACAAAGCTTGCTTTTATTCTACCTTTTCAAAATGAGTACACATAACCTACTAGCACAAATTCATAATGGACTCATATTTGCTTTATCGCATTAGGAAATTAATAAAGATAAACACGTCTGACTGTAAACGTTGACCGAAGTTTACGACAGGTAGCCACTAACTTCGCCTTCCTTTAAAAAAAAAAATCGAAGTAAAACGCCACCACAATCACGGTAATAACACTTTTTCTGGCGTTTTTGCTCGAGAGGCGTTGACGTAAACCCGTTTCGCCGGAAATAACACCACCTTGGATTAGCAATTACACATTGTTGTCATCGCAGTGAAAACTGGCTTATTTACATACTCGAGCAAAATAATCACCCAAAAAGTAATCCTTAATAACTGTCAGACGTAAGAAGCTTGGAAGTTTACAATTTTCTTAATGATACATATCCGATATGTATTGATATTCAACCTGCTGCTAGAAATATAAAAAATCCGATAATATAACAGCGAACGACGCCTGTGGCAAATCGGAAGTCATTAAAAGGGAAATTTCAAATAATTAAGATCAATGTGGCGGAATATATCAAGAAAAAGCACTTCCTAGATAACGGACGGTGCGACTGTCATTTGTTTTAGAAATTTTCAAAGCGTGGGAAATTAGGCTGCGAAGGAAATCCTCTTCAGGTTGACAATATGTTAAGTAGCGTCAATAAACATTAATAACTAGTAGCAATTAAAGGTACGAGGTTAACGATCATCTTTTCTTGGCGAAGTTCTAATCTAATCTACAACCTCTCCAAGAAAAGAGAACTTGAATCCGCGCTGACTTTTCTTTTTTTTTATTTGACATTTTAGACGTTAGAGGTGGTGGATTTTGCGAAAGGCGGCACAAGTGTAGCAACAACCCGCGTTTGGTATAAGCGGCACGCTCTGTTACAATACAAAAGCGACTACTATCTTCATTATACCCATAATGGGTGATTTTATAGTTGTGGTGGCGTATTTCGTGGAACGTTCTCCTATAAATGGTTTATTAAAAACGGAGACTTTTTATTATCATGAACGTGGAACACATCATTGCCTTTTTGCTGAAACAGATGACTCATCACAACAGTATCTCTCTCTTCGCTGTTTTTCTACAAAAAGATTTACATTAATTATTAGTCTGGAGATAGAAACCACATAAGGTAATCTTGTCTCTTCTCTTCCAGTAATTCCACTGTAATTCACACGGAACAATCGACGATCGTCGTAAATTGCCACGCGTAACAACAGTAGCCGGTGTAATTGATACCTACCACTTATTATTATTACAACAAAGAGACCGTCAGATTGTCGCAATTATTTCATGTTTCGCAAACCGTTATGTGGATAATTGCTAAAACGCGTAGTTTGTAAACCTAAACTCTGCGGGACACGCTGATTTTTTTTACGTGATTTTTATTTTACAGAATTTGCTGCCCTTGCCGGCTGGCGCTAGCGCTGCCTTGGTGAAACCAACAAAGTACCATTACTACCCACACAACCAACACATTTACCTACTTCCGGAATGTGCAATCCAGCAAGTAAGTTTTGGAAACTCGTGGATTAGTACATTCAAACACGATTTTTACAGGTTTGTAATGCGGTGTACGTCAGGTTAAACTGGACGCAACCTCTTTGTGCTTGTCCTTCGAGATACAGAGATCCTTGCTCTGCGTCGCTGAATTCGGACGATCTGCATACCACCGAATTAATGATTGACAGAAAGTCGAGGGTAAGTGGACGTTGAAGCAACATTTTTTTGACGACTTGGTTAAATTTAGTTGTCGGGAAGTCGGTTTTTGTCCTTACTTAGAACTATTAGCGTGCCTATTCACGTTCTATAATCTTCTTAAAGCGTTGAAATGCTATAATTTTATTGCTAGAAAATTGGCGCACATTGTGAGTACTCAATTCTTGAACGGACGTAGTGATTATTGCGAATTTATAATTGTGATGGCGAGTAGGATTCGCAGAACAAATCCTACTTATTTCTCTAGCATAATTATGTTTTTCCAACAGAGCGTCTATTGTCGTTTAATCTCCTGCTTAGAGTCAGACAAATATGTTCTAATTATCTCCTTAAGGTTAATTACGTTGAACTATAAATGTGCTAGAGGTTTTCATACACTCGATACAATCGCGAAATCTCTAGTTGCAATTATATTCAATGAACTGTGTAAAATTACAGCTGCTTCTCATTTCCAAGATGTAATTTAAAGACAAACTATATCGCAACGAAGCCCAGCTTCCGCTCACTTTGATTCAATCAAACAAAGAACATCTTACGAAAGTTTTAATTTTCTAAAAACGGAACTTTCAACCACAAAAAAACGCTGGTCCACAGTACAATAGATCATATCTGTAAAAATTTCTGTGCACGATTTCTTGATCGGAATGCAGCTATTGTACGGCAACGTTAAGTCCACGCTCTCAAGTGACATTTTCAAATAAAACAATCTCCGCAACAAATCTACCAACTCCTGTCGTTTCTACACATTTGCGACGCAAATAATTAATATAACTATACGGGCACGTTTTCCGGCGTGCGTGGGCTCTAATATGAAATTTTATCGATTGATGCACCATTCATCATTCAAGCGACGTGTCTACGGTCACAAAATATATTTTTCTGTTCCAGCGTGCCCTCACTTTGGTAAAAACCTGCGAACCCACGTCTGAAATGCGAGTTTGTCGTTCTCCTCGCGATTGGTCCCTTCTTGCTCTCCAGAACATTCGCACCGGTAAATCACACTATTTGGTGATTTGTAGATGTCCCGAAGTGAGCGTTTTGGGTAAGTTTTCAAAAGTACCCTTTACGAATTACCTATAATTTTGTTATTACAGAAGGTCCGATGTCTCACGATCAGCCGACCTATGCCAGTGTTCCTGGTATTAGAGTATATGGTATGATGTGCGTGGACACTAAACGTCGTGGACGACCTTTGAGGACCTCCCGATCGGTGGAAGTCCCTCCGTTCCCGTGGGATAAAGCAGTCGAGTTAGCTAAGTCGGCACTATGGGATTAAATATGGCGGATTAGTGTAATTGTGATTTAGCGATTTTTTATATGTAGACATGAGGAATTTTAAGCAATTTAGCTTGTGTTCGTCCTACTTAGCAAATGCTGAAAGTGACTTTTTTTAAAGTAATTTAGTGATGTTTATGGCCATGTTTAAAATGTGTGTAAGTAGTGGCGATTTTTATCAAATGCGTGTAAAAATTGGTCGCTACTTTCTAGGCGAAACCGCGTTTCGAAAATGGAGGTTTTTAGAATGCCGTTTAGTACTTTTTTAAACATGGCTATATGTGGGTTAATACACATATTTCTGTAGCACGACTGTCTAACTTTTGGTGGAAGGTTCTAACAAGTTATTTATTTATTTATATTATTTAGATTATTTGAAAAATACTCTGCTTTTATTTATATTTCTGTATATATGGCGCGCTAATAAAGACATAACGACATATACTTTTATTTTTACTTACAGAAATTTGAAATACGCGCCAAATACTGACTGTTGTTGACGTTATATGCAACCAACATTACACTTATGTTGGCTACAGTAAAACGTTATTTTTGACACTCCGAATTATTGAGTCCTACTGTGTCATAAAAGATTTACATTTAAATGTAAAATAAATAAAACGCTGGTTGTTCACATCATGTTTAATAACAAAAATAGTAATAATAAATATACATATAATCTAGAGTAATCTCCAATGAAGAAATTGTCAGTAAAATATATTTCTTGATTGCAAAGTTTGTGAACTGCAGAATATAGCTACATCTTTAACAATAATTAAAATTTCAATGACTTAACGCAAGTTTTTTATCCAATTGTGACTTTTAAACACTCATATAAATACAATACAATAAACAGAGGCCACCAATTGCATAACAAACTTGACAGAAAACATACAAGGTGAAACTTACAATCAAGCTGACAAAAATTTGTACTTTTAATATCATAAATAAATTTTAAACAGTACATCACAAAATAGCAATTTGAAAAATATATGCTAACATTATCACTTTCTACTATCACTAAAAAGGGAAGTGAAGCTATAAATTATTGAAAATAAGAAAGCAATTTGAATGTGTTTCCAGTCATCCCTTTTAAGATATAATACAATTCGGTCTGTCACCCAAAATACCATCGATTTTTTCCATTTCTGACAACAACATGTGGAAAATTTCAGAAGCAGACTACAAGAAAAAAAAATGTCACAGCAATTTTTCAAAAATTAAGACTTACAGCAGTTTGCTTAGCTGATGTTTCTAGAAAAATAGCGTTCCAGTCTTCAGCCAACTTTTTACCTTCCTCATATGAAATCATGCGTTCCATATGCAGATCAGTTTTATTACCTACCAGAACAACCGGCACTCTGAAATATCAGTTTAATTTAATCACAATGATAACGACCATTCTAATAATAGAATAATAGAAATAATAATAATGTAAAACGCACTGGATCTTTCCGTTGAGATCCTGTAGTTTATGAAAAATTGTTCCCACTACTTCAAAAGACCTTATATCTGTTATACTGTACACTAAAACGTAGCCATGAACATCTATGCTATATTGTGATGGGAAGAGAGTCAATTCGTCTTGTCCGGCCGTATCTACCAACGTAAGCTCATAATCTTGTGAATTTATCCTCACAGTCTTTGTAAACGCTAAAACGTTCAGGCTTTCAGGTAAGTTTTTCGTTCAGTCTTTTACTTACTATTTTCGATTGTAGGGTCGTACGAATCCACAAACTGCCCATCAACGAACTGAATACTAAGGGAAGACTTACCTAAAACGTAAAATTAAGCGTCCTTTTCGCTCAATGGCTGCAGAACTCACCGACAGATCTGTACCCCATAACCGCAATTTTCCGCTGCTTACACGACATTTTCACTTCAAGACCTTAATTTCCTATCACATGTACGAGATTTTTAAATAAATAAGCTAATTTAACTCAAAAAACAACCGAAAATCAACCAACACAGAAGAATTTTTTAGTTAGGTTACGGCATACTATGACAGGCAATTTACACAGCACACTACTCGAAAAAAAATTTTTGCGTTTCATAATTTTCAAAGCGGTTTATTGTTTGCCTTTTTTCTTTAATCACATTTATTATTGCCTGGATGAAGGTACTTGTAACTATAAATGCGAACTGAATGACAGTGCGCACAAAAAAATGAGAAAAAGGACCTATCGGGACATGCTTGTAGCGAGGGGTGGCACAAAAAGACGGAAACTAAATATTAAGAAATAAAATAGTCAGGGGGCATTTACGGATATTACAAATACGGGAAAATAAAATTTCAAACCCTTTAATTAATGAAATTGATTGGATACAGGTTTCGATTTTATCGACACTAGTACCAACGTGAACGGGGTTACGTTGGTGGCAGTGATTGTCATAACCTAGAAATTTTGTTCGCAGTGTAGATGGACGTGTCATCTTTGCAATTTCTATGTTTTGAGCAATTTTAATGATATTTTTAATTGTTAAAAAAATTTATCATCAATTATGTTGACTTCGTCTCATGTTTCCAACAATGGTTCTTATTCTAATGACCGGGGGGCTGGATTTGAGACCGAGTTTGCGGTCGATCCAGCCTCCGGAGGATTCTTCCATACAGATTTCAAAAAGTAAGTTTTCTCATTATACGACACGTTTTACGCTTAAATGTCGTAGGCACGATGACCTCAAAGAAATGCTTGATTCTAATAAAGACAGCCTCAAATTGGAAGCAATGAAAAGAATCATTGGGGTAAAAATTAAGCTTTTTTTTACAAGTGCACACTAATTTTTGTTTCTTAGATGGTTGCAAAAGGTCGAGACGCGTCTATGCTTTTTCCAGCTGTTGTTAAGAACGTCGTTTCTAAAAACATTGAAGTCAAGAAGTTGGTTTATGTGTATTTGGAAAGATATGCTGAAGAACAGCAAGATTTAGCTTTACTTTCGATTTCTACGTTTCAGAGAGCTTTAAAAGTAGGAGTTTTTATAGCAATTATGTTTAACTAGTGTCAGTTTATAGGAACCTAACCAACTGATCAGGGCAGGAGCGTTGCGGGTTTTATCCAGTATAAGGGTCAAAATGATTTCACCCATCGTCATGTTAGCAATACGAGACGCTTCGTCCGACATGTCGCCTTATGTGCGCAAAACCGCAGCACACGCCATCCCCAAATTATATGGGTATGACTATGTCAATTCTGACCAATCACAAGTAACACAAGCACGCCTCTTTCACGTGGTGCCTTCCCATTCGTTGCAGCTGCTTGTCAAAATCACGTGATTTATTAAGCCACAAGCACATTTCTCGTCACCCAATTAACTACCTTTTCATTTTTTTTTTATAGTTTAGACAATGAACTTAAATCCGAACTGGTTACCATCATCCAGAAACTCCTCGCGGACAAGACGGTCCTCGTCATCGGCTCGGCCGTGATGGCCTTCACTGAAGTTTGCCCCGAGCGCGTCGACTTAATTCATCAAGTGTATAGAAAACTGTGTGCCTTGCTCGTCGACGTGGACGAATGGGGTCAAGTGACCATCGTCAACATGCTGACTCGCTACGCTCGCATGCAGTTCGCCGACCCTAACCTACACGAACATGGCGATGACTCGGACCGTCCGTTTTACGACTCAGGGTCCGATTCCTCCGAGAAGCCCGCCCCCACTCTCGACCCCGACCACCGCCTCTTGTTGAGATCCACCAGGCCTCTGCTGCAATCGCGCAACGCCGCCGTCGTCATGGCGGTGGCGCAGCTGTACCATCACGGCGCCCCCAAGAGCGAAAGCCTCTTGGCGGCGAAGGCTATGGTTCGGCTTCTGCGGTCGCACGTGGAGGTCCAGAGTGTGGTTTTGAACGCCATTGCGTCGATTAGTGCGCAGAATAAGGGGATGTTTGAGGCGTACTTGAAGAGTTTCTTCGTGCGGACTTCCGATCCGACGAATATTAAGTTGTTGAAGCTTGAGATTTTGACGAATCTGACGACGGATTCGAATGTTTCGATTATTTTGAGAGAACTGCAGACTTATATTTCTAATAGTGATAAGAAGTTTGTTGCGGCGACGATTCAAGCGATTGGGAGGTGTGCCTGTTCCATTAATGAAGTTACGGATTCTTGCCTTAACGGATTGGTGTCGCTGTTGTCAAATAGAGATGGTTGGTTTTTGGTGCACCATTTTATTTTATTGGTTTTTTCTTAACGTCATTTTGTAGAGGCTGTTGTTGCTGAAAGTGTAGTCGTCATTAAGAGGCTCCTTCAAACACAAGCTGCCGACCCGAAGGAAATTATCACTCATATGGCGCGACTTCTCGATAGTATAACTGTTGCGCAAGCGCGAGCTGCCATTTTGTGGCTGCTTGGCGAACATTCCCAAAAAGTGCCGCATATTGCACCCGATATTCTTAGGAAATTAGCTAAAACGTTCTCTGACGAGGTATATAAAATGTTTTTTTTTTGTACCCGTAAACATAACCTATTGGTAATTTTAGCATGACATAGTTAAATTACAAGTGATGAATTTAGCCGTGAAACTGTACATAACAAACTCGGAACAAACTTCGCTTTTATGTCAATACATTTTTAATTTGGCGCGTTATGATCAAAACTACGACATTAGAGATAAAGCAAGATTGCTTAAGCAATTTATCCCTAGACAAGAAGGAAAAATCACTTCCTACGCAACAAGAATTTTCCTAGCGAGTAAACCGGCACCGTTATTACAGTCACAGTTCAAAGGTGGGTGTGGTTATAAATAACCAATAAGTGATCGATCTTCAAATCACGTGAACTGCGAGTTGTTTAAATTGTAGATCATGAAGACTTGCAATTAGGTTCACTGTCGCATTACATCAAACAGAGAGCAACCGGTTATGAACCTCTTCCACCTTTCCCTGAACACCCGCCACCTAGTGACGTCAGAAACGTCGAACCAATCGTAACAACTGAAGATTCCAAACCGTATAAAAAATCGGATAAGAAGAGCAAAGACATGTTTTTGTGGGAATCTGGGAGTTCGCGTGGTGCTAGTAGCAATAACACTTCTGGAAGCGAAGATTCGTCGAGTAGTAGCGAAAGTACGAGCGAAGAAAGTGATAGTCAGTATGAAGAAGAATCATCAAGTGAAGAGTAAGTCGTTGATTTGGTAGGTGAACATGTCGTCAATTTTGTTTTAGAAAATCGGGAACTAAATCGTCTAACTCGAGCTCCAGCGAAGAATCAAGTGAAGAAGAAAGTGAAGATGAAAGACCTAAGCACGAAAAATCGCAAATATCAAGACCAGAGCCGCCAAAACCAAAGTCGAATTTAGATTTACTGCTAGATTTAAGCGATCTTGATAGTTCTATTCCTGTGATGACACCATCCCTGGGTGGGTTTTTGACTCCAAGTACCATAGTCAGCGTCAACCCATTACTCATTGAAATAATTCCCGCAATCTACACTCACACTAAATCAATGGAACTAATTAATAAAATCAACGGCAGAGGATTATCAGCTATCTATAGGTTTACAAGGTCACCACATATATTATCCCCCAGTATGGCAAACATCAACATCATGTTCACTAATAACATTAACGAAGACATAACGGACATCCGACTCGGCAAAAAGGTTGTTAAAATAGCGTCACTTTTTCGTCTTAATTGTCGTTTTGTAGAACTTGGGTATGGACATGTCAATTTACGACTTCGCAAACATCCCAAAGTTGCCGCCAAATGGGTGTTTGCCAGCAACTTTAGGGATCGATTTTAACGATACTATACAATCTGCGAATTTCGAAATAGTGTGTTCATTAGGTAAACCTCCTAATTTTATGGCCACACCCATCAGGATCAATGTTTTAGGAAACTTTACTGTATGCGTGAAACCGACAATAGGCGAACTGATCCGACCCATAAAAATGGAAAACGTCGTTTTCTATGAAAAACAATCAAAGTTGGGCGGGATGAACGAGCATGTTGGGCATGCAAAGTGTGTTAATAATGTTACAGAGAAGGTGTTAGAGTGTACAAATTTGGGCGTTTGCGGTAACCCGGATGGTGATACGTTGAGGTAATGGTTTCCACGGTATTACTAACAAGGTTACTAATTTTGTTTATAGATTCGCGGGTCAGACGCTGAAATCGTCGAATTTAATTTTGGTTACAATTACAAATCAAGAAACGATTATAGTTAATTGCGAAAATATGGTGTTCGGGTCCGTTCTGCTCAACGAACTGCTACACAACTTGAAGACATAATCTCAGCTTAAACATATATGAAACATTATATTCTTACCTTATGTACTTTTTTTTTTGTAACGAGAAATACTTAAAACATAATGTGCACCAAGTAGCCGCTTACAGTTCTAGAGCTTCCTTTGTCGAGTGAATATTATGTTATTTGTATTTTATGCACATGTAAAGTTCAACTTGTTTTTTATCCTTTCAAATAAATATCTAATTGAATTTTTTGAAATTATGCTTAATGTTATTACTGCGCATGCGCGAAGTAAATCCGCGATTGGTAGTTTTTGCGCTACGTTAATTCCGATTTGCTATTGGTGAACGCCCCTTTTCAAATAAATATTGCAACAAATACGAAATTTTAATAAGAGAAAGATTACACACTAGAATTGATATAAATATAAATCGTAGAAAAGCCGAGAGCTCTCTACTCATACAATAATTTACAAAATGACCATCTCTTGAGTATCCACGATGTAAAAATTGACGGAAAAAGCGAAACAATGTAAATTGAAAAAGTCTACATTGAAATATTATTCTTTCGCATATAACATTACATATTCATTAACTTTCATTCTGAACTCTTCTTTAGAATTTCTATACATATCGGAAGCTTCTATATTTAAGGGATCATCAAAATTTAATAGATCCTAAAAAGAAAATATAAACATCGCACGGAAACGCGCTTTTCCCTCACCGTAAATAAAGCGTGTAGGCCCCAAACAACATCATTTAACCTTCTAATTGGTGACCAACCTAATCCATCCATACTATGTTGCCGTAAAAGTGATAGACAAACTTCTCCAACTTCTGTTATGTTTGGATGCCACAATCGAGTAAGGCATTTGACTGTAGGAGGCTGAAAGAACACGCTAAACAAAAACACCGCTGCGAGTTTTTTATACTTACAACCATATTATATTCTTCTGTTACATTAATAGCAAATTTGAACGTTCCGCCTTCCCAGTACCCTTCTGTAGGTTTCACGGTCAGTATAAACTTACTTAAATCGTTTTCGTTTTCGTAAAATACTGAACAATTATTTGGCAAAAGCTGAGACATCTCTTGCGACTCCTTTATCAACAATTTATCTCTGATTGAAATTCTGTTTACGGCAGCAGAACGATCATCTTGTTGTTTTTTCAAGCGTTGGGAAAGCGTAATCATTTTTTAATATTCCTAATTTTTAAATTAAAGCACAAGTCATCGCATTGTTTATTTCTTGGGTTTTACTTTGATATCATAGATCTGATATGGACTGGACTTTTAGGTTAGGACTAGAATGAGTAGGTATTTTTGTGAATCTGATTGGCTCACCTGTCTGTGACGTCATTGAAAACGAAAGTCGGGAAAGAAAAAACAAACTGTTTAATAAGGTGCGTGGGGATCGCAAACTAACATTAGTCTTTTTTATTATGTTATATATATTTTTTGTTCAAATAAGTTGTTGTGCGCATGACGAAAGTCTTCTGTCACAAACTTCTGTAGCTAATACGATTTTTAACTGGTTTAGAGAATATGTAGGTAATAATAATTCGTTATAAACGGCATTCTCATTTAATATACCCGAACGTAAAATTTTGTCTTTAAATAACCTAACATTTTAGGACAAATTTTATTTATCAACTAAACATTTTTTTTAATGTTTACGTTTGACGGGACGTCTTATTCACGTGCGTTAAAATTAATGACTGCAAAAACCAGTTTATTGTGCAGAAACACCCAGTGCGTCCTTTGTTTACAGTTGTAGAATTTCAGAAATTTACATTTTTGTGCCGTATTAATATTTATTAGAATGTGTCAAAAGAATAAAAAAAAAAATAGTCAAATAGAAACATGGTATGTATAAAGATTTGATATTAGAGACAAAAACAACAAAAATGAAAAAGAAAAATTGGAATATAAAATAATTACTAATTTTTCACAAAATATATTAAAACTAAAATGTGGCGCACACACGCGACTGCATTTATCAGAACTTTGGATACCTGTGCCCCGATGTACCTTATGAATGGTGTGAAACATGTAACTGAAACAAATAATTCTGTCGTGTTTATTGACTTAACGTAGTTATTTTTAAACATCTTTATACAACAATATGAATGAATTATTATTTATTTAAACGTTTACACAGTTGTAATACCATAAACCACAAAAACCAACTTAACAATGGAAAAATTCCATTGATAAACATTTTATGCTTTTCGTGTTGTGTAATTTGTCGCGGACAAAAAGACATCGATTAATATAGCACTTTACAATAACGATAATTAATATTAAAACCTCCGCAGTGCATGTTATGAATAAACCGGCGCTTTTAATGCGTTTTATCTCGACAAATATGTTGTTTAATAATTAACATTCCTGGCAGTGGTAAATTTTCAAGTGAAAAGTCCCAAATCATCATTTTCCTTTGTTTGTAAAATCTATTATATACATCAGAATGATAATTTATAAAGTGAAGCAATATGAATTATTAATTCTGAATTAATTGCGGAAACTGGTTGAGTCGTCTCTTTGTTTCAGTGGAATTGATTGCGGTATTCATATTCAAATTCGAATATTCTTATTGAGATTTTGCGCGCGTCTGGAATTTGACTCTTGTTCCCCCAGTCCGCGCTAGGTTGGCAGCAAAAATGAAATTTTTTGTTGTTCAATTTACTTTATTGCTAAAGAAAAAGGGGCCCGGTTGAGTATCGCTCGGGCTTTTATCGCGTCATTTACGTCGTTTTTTGCGCGTTTATCCTAAATAAAAAATTACTGCGAGGTGTTCGAATCGGTTGGCAGGCCTGGTATGGCGCGCGCGCTTGCGCGCCGCTCCGCTTGCACCCCTTCCACGGCACACTTCCCAGTTTTCAGAGTTGGGAAGTTGGACAAGGCCCAAAGTGTTCCAGTGGGAAGGAAGTCCAAGTTCGAGGTGACGAAGTCGTGAAAATCGTGGCAACGGCGTATCCTTTGGTAGAAATCACGACGTTTCGACAGAAGCCTCGCAGTTCTACTGAGACCGACAAGCAAGTGGACTTTTCTTGCCGTGTTTAGAACGTGTGGACTTGGAATTTTTGGCATTTCTAGGAAAATAGTGTACACGTAAGTGAAAATTTTTGCTTTTCGGCGGTTGTGCCCTACCGGGCCGGATTCTCCGAGTTTGTTTTGGTTGTGTGGGTTGTTTTGAGGCGAGTTTGTGTGAAGGATGTGGAATAACCTGCAAAGTGCTTTTTGGGAAGTTTTGAGGTTGGGCCGTTTCGGTCGGGATTTGTTCGTTTTGGTGTTTGTTCGATTTGTTGGTTTGTTTGACAACCGGGCGATAAAAATTATCTCACGTAATTCAGAAATCGCATAAATTTTTACGGCGCGGGGACCCATTGTGGCCAATTAAAGCCCATAAAGATATTAGATTAAGTCGAAGACACTCATTTTGATTGGTCCGAGAATTATAAGGGCGCGTTTTATTGGGTGCACCTAGCTGAGTAAGTTCGAACGTGTTTGATAGACAAATACAGATAATGAGTATTTGAACAGTTTGAATCCGCGCTTCGATGAGAAAATTCACTTACGAATCTCCATGATTCATAAGAAATTTAATTAAGAAACCTTTTCCCGAGTTTGGATGAGGCAAAGTATACTTGGAAATTGGAAGCGAAAGGTGAACATCAATTACTTTTGCTATATGAATCATATTTCCATTTAATTTTACTTACGTATCTCCTTTGATACCTCCTTCGTAGCGAGTAACATAAATTGGTCGTGTTTCATCTTAAATTCACTATGATCTTTCTTATTAAAACGTAATCAACGAAATTTCTGTTATATTTCAAGCCCGATCCGATCAACACGTTTGTTTAAATTTCGTACCGGCATCGGCACAAAATTGAAAATATCCTGGAATCTTTCTAATCTCGGCGAGGTAGGAATCGCTCTATTATTTATGAACGTGTGTTCAACTTCATTGAGAAAATCAGAATAATTCATGGAATTAATTCCGGGGAATCACTGCGGAAGGCATTAATGCTGTTGGCGCTATTAAGCAAAGGGACTTGCCTTCAAATTGAGTTTACTCAAAAGACTGAGTTACACCCAAAACCTGCTAACTCGATTATTTTAGAAAGGCTACTGATGATGTACCCTCTAAATCAATTCGCCTTTTTCCGAAAGACGAGACGAGAAAATTCTGATATAACGAAGCCACTAAACGACTCCAATCGAAACAATATACCAAGAGGAAATAAAAATTTTATACCTGCACTACGAGTTTGTTATCTTTTTACCGAGTTTAATGAGTCAAGTATTTGAAACTCTTGACCTCATTAGAGTTTGAGAGGACGGCTACAAGTCTCACTACAAGCAAATACCTTAAAACAAAGACCTAATTATTTGCGTAAATTGCCGACGGCTGTGCCCGCTTTCGGCTCAATAGTGGCGCAAAATTCCTAGAATGTTAAAGGAAACTCAATTTTGCACTACACCCCCGTTTTCAAATATTAACGACCACATGGGAAATTTTATTTCCCAAAAATTACCAATTTATAAGCCTTTTCAAGCCTCTAATAGCTCAAACACTACTTTTTCAATTCTACGCCCAAACACTGTTTGAAAGGCCAACTTAATTTGTATCCACATAATAGAATAGCAATTTCAATGCTGAAAACAAAATATGAACTAATTGTGATATTTGTCACTAAAGTAGGTAACATTGAAAAAAAAAACATTTGATCGTCTCTCTAAAATTGCTATTGATTCTGTGAATGTCGTACGGTGAATAATAGCCCTCAATTCGAATTGAAATGTTAATTTTAACCCGAAAACATTAAACTATATACATGGCAGTTTTAAAACAAAACTAATTTTGAAATCTTTTTTTCGTTCTTAGGTTTATACACCTGTACACGTTTTTTATAAAATTGTACAATTACAAAAATAGGTGTTTTCTGGAATAACGAAAAGCATTTATTTTTGGCACTATGCAAAATTGTTTACTGGGCGTAAAATATATTTAGGCAAAATTTTGCCTTGACGTTCCGGTTGGTTAAACGTGAAAACGTAAAGGGTTTCAGTGTGATGGGCTACGAAATAGCAGGACGCTTGAATAAAAGTGTTTTTTTCTGATGTGACGTGAGCTTTATGTGGACTTGGCAGGCCGAATTACATATAGAGAAATTTGAAAAAATAAAGGCCGAAAATGTAAAATAAATATCCTTTTATGTATTTTATAAATTGTCAGTTGAATCGTGTGCGCGACAGAAGAGATTATAAAAAAATGTATTTGAAAGTAAAAGTCAGGGACAAAGGCTGGGACTTGTAAAAACATCATGCTGATTTTTTTTCGGCCGTCATGAAACGAGATTTCGTTTGTTTTTTCGTACGTCGGTGGAAAAGTTGCAGAGAAACTGTGTCGAGCAGAAAAACGGCGCCACGTACTGCCAAGAATTATTCTGAAAGAGTAGGAAATAAACCGTGAAATATTTCCTTTCCATGTAAATGCAAATGATGTTATAATTTCCTTTGTATATTATTTTTTTAATATTTGAAATCAATCTAAATGCACAGTAGTCGTTATTGAAAAATCGTTACGGGGGTTTCTTCGGTTCCTTGTTTATTTTCATCTCGGCGGGGAGCAGAAATTAAAAAAAGAGAAAACCTGCGAAGTGGCAGCGATGTTAATTATATTTGAAATTATGAACTGCGGGAAGTGCAATAAGTTATTGGTTTTACAGATTGGGAGTTCCGTTTTGAGCCAAGTTTACTCAAACACTAAATGGAGAAGTTTGTGTAAGCGTACTAAAGTTTGGCTATTAACACGAAATAACGCTGCACCAGACGATTTTTGAATCAATCGGTGTTTGGACTAACATTAATAGTTAATTATCTTCTCACAATTCGAGTATTTTTCAGGTCGATGACGTAGGAGTGTTTTTGAAATTAAAGCAAACACAAAAAAATGTTTTAAATGCGATTTCATGTGTTTTAATATGCGTAGGAGCAATTTTTTCGCGCCTATCCAGAATTGGATTTCACGGTTTTACAATGGGCGGATGGGCCGGCTCGAGATTGATAGCAAAGAGGTGAGTTTGTGTGGTTTGATCGGCTTGATTGTGCGAACTTGTTAATAATACGAGCCGATTCGCAGCAAATAAATGCCATAAAGGGTATTGGGCGCTAATTACTTCGAAATGCTTTACTCGATCAAAATCCAAACGAATCACCTCTTTGATTGCTCTTTATGGACGTACTTGTTCGAAATTGTTTTATTAACGCTGTTTCGCATTGAAATGATCCTCGGATGTGTGCTACACCAAATCGAATAATCGTCAACGTTCCAAATCCATAACTTTGGAAACTCCCTACACAATTTGGATGTTTGTAATATTCAGAACTGTTGAATTTCAACTTACGCCACCAAAAGGGGAATATGAGGGCTTCGCTGATCAAAAGCACCGAGGAAGCAAACTGTTTGGGGTGGTTAAAGATCCCTCGGATTCATTTTTTTGACATATTAATTAACGCACTCAACGAAGTTATAAATATTTGAAATAATGAAAACTTCCAGCTTGTTGAATTGTATTTTTATATTAAAAAGTTTGTTTTCGTTTTAATTGAATTTTATTGTATACGTGCGTCATGGACTCTAATTGCTTTGAAGTTCAGAGGTAAACTACTCGGATGAATTTTAAGCCAATTTGGAGAATGAGAGGGAAAGTTTTTTAATAAAACAACCGAGGGTCATTTTGTATCATCCACGGTTCAGTTGATACGCATTTTCGCCAGCCGGCTATGATATTTCTCATTTTTATCAATCCCGCGATTATTGTTAAGGCGCAATTACGCACCCGATGGTTTGCCAAGTCGAGCTTGATGTAATTTCTCAACCGCCGGCAATCCAAAAATTAAGACTGACCCTTCTCGGAACGAAAAATTTTATTTCTGGCTTAACGAATCATAAAAAGCACTAATTGCCGTTGCTATTATCTGTCTATGTATAGTAATGCGATAAATTCCTATTAATTTACTCGTCAAATACCTTAATCGCTTTTATCTTTGAATCGAACTATAGTTTCGCGATCTAGCTTAGCTCGTAAAACTGCAGTCATTAAAATTGCTTTGAAATGTAAGTACATAATGTTGTCGATAGCGGGTATTTTTTAGTATAATACAATAGCGATTATACGCTCCACCCGCATTTGTCCAATCGTGGAACTAAATTTAAAACGCGTTGAACGAGTTGTTTCGGAAATTTTGTGTGTGTTCGAACGACTCGTTCCCAGCAGTTAAAGACAAGCGTGTTTTGATTTCTGTTCAGGCATGTTTAATGGGTAATGGCGTTTTTTAATTTTTCTATTTGAAAAAAATTGTATTTTGATGATTGTAAAATCATAATGTCATAAATTGTGTAATTTAAAGAACGATTATTGTAGTTGCGGTTTGTTTTTTTGCTTCGTCAAATGTCAGTGTGCGGTTATGATTGTAAAATGTGTAGAGTGCGTAGTTCATCGCGTAAGCTAAAAAATGAGGTATTTGCAAACTGTTGACTTAACGCTGAAAATTTCAATTTATATGTAAAAAGTAGCAAATTGCCCGCCGACCATGAAGGATGGGATCTTCTTTATGATTCTGATGTAGCATATATGTTTTAACAACGAATTTTGTTCTTGCTAGATTGAGATAATTTATGTATAAAAAGTCAGAAGTGATTTGTGATTAATGTTAAAAGCGTGAGATAATAAATTACGCACAATTAAGTACGATAGAAAGCGTATGCCAGAATACGTCAATAAAAAGGAGCGATTGAAGTTGCATGAAATTTTCAATACTACAAATATGAATGATGTAATAACGCAAAGATAACACTTTTTAGTGATAGCAAATTAAAATAGGAAATAGAAATGAGTAATTGGGCGTTTTCTGTTGTATGTTTGATGCGGTTATAGCATGAGTAATGACAATGAGGACATTGCAAGTAACGTACGAATATCGAGAGTCGGATAACCCGTGACGTCAAAACATTAACAGTACTTTTGTTTTATTTGTTCTTAAATTAACATCAGCGGAAAGTAACTGACTGTAATGATCAAACAAATAAGATTGTCAGAGAATATTAAACATAATTACAATAATCGCGAAAATAGTCCAGATAATTACTAATCGTTACGACAAATGACGGCATTGAAAATCGTGAAAAGCTGATGATTTATTGTTTCCTGAGTAATAACGTAGTCCGTTCGAGACTCTTTAAAAATAAACTCGATGGTGCAAATAAATATATTATTGATTTTGTGTATTACCTCTGCGAATTATGGACCGAGCGAAGAGTAATGGGTGAAATTATGCCTCAATAGTTTTGAGATGGAGTTTTTTTTGCGAAATCGGGGAGACCATTGTGGCGTTCGCAGAAGCATTTTCTTGTATTATTTCGAAGATTTTTCTTCATATATCAGTGTTTTTGTTTGAGGTTTATTGTGTTATCGTCCGTGCTGCGGTTTGCAAGACGTCATGTATTATCTAGTTATCTAACAATTGTGGTGAGTATATCAAAAGTTATTTTTATTTTGATAGTGGTGGCAAAGTTTCTTTAGATGGCGTTTTCGCGCTAACGACTCATCCTTTGAAAGTCGTCGTATCGTCGCAACTGTCCGACAAAAACAAATTTTGTCATATTTAGTGTTTTCATGGATGCACGCATCTCTCGTTTTGCATTAATAGGTGTGCGCAATTTGATGTATTGTGTTAAAATATGCCCATAAAATTTGTTTTGTGTTGAATTTAATTAAGTAGAAAGGTGCGTCCTTTTGAATAATTTGTGAATTAGAAGCATCGTGTTTATTTTCGTGGCGCTCTATGAATTAATTAAATGTTTAGAATTAAACGAAATCAATCACTTACAGCAAATCATCTCATCAATAAACTTCACGAGTGTTAATTTAGACTCATATTTCATGGTGAATGTCGCTGTCTCGTCGCAATCGCGATAACAAAAAAGATTGGAATTTTTCCCAAGTTGGCATAGTTTTATCATTTATTGCTGCATTATTGTGGAAATGCGCGCTAATTAGATTTTATCACATCCAGTTGTGGCTTGACAGATGGTCGTATCATCGTTAAATAACAGCGAAAATCGCCTCGAAATCGACCGATTATCAACGTTTTCGCTAATTACATCTTCTCGACGTTCAATTTCTTTGTTTATTTCTGGCTTGTTTTACACGTCAATTTCCTTGCATACTAAATGACTTTTGCGTCAACTGCATGAATATACATGATGCTTTATCGTGACTGGAAATTTTCGAAACATTTAAATGTCCACCGAGATTTTACCCATTGTCCATACTCATTCCAGATTTAAATTGATTATACAACTTCTTCTTCGAAGACATTCGCAATTAATTCCTGCCAGTGTTTCGCGGTTAAGCTCTGCTTTTAATTAAATTTCGCGACATTATTATGTTCTTTTGTCTTTAACACGCGCTATATTTCCCCGCGTACCCTACATTTAACTTCGTTAAATCAGATCGCATCTTTTTCTTTCGCTTTTTCTTTCGATCCGACGAAGAAAAACGAAAAAGGTATTCCAGAAAAGCCGCTCCCCCGTGTTTTTCGTCGATTGCCACTCATGAAGGTAATTTATTCATGTAAATAGAAACAGTGTGTGCCGAAATCGAAAACAAAAAAATTTTATCGCGGGTGTAATAAATAACGAACTGACTTTACCAAGGAACGTAAACTTTTAAGTCAGCCGTTGACGAAATAATTTCAACATTCGTCACAAATTCCGGGGAGGAGTTGGAATTAGTGTTTGGATTTATCGTGCGTTTTTTTTTTTTCGTTTTACAATTTCTCAAATTCATTTGTCATAACTTTCCAGCGGCTAAAATATCACATTTTCTTTTTGAGCTTCGTTTAATATGCTTACAGTATTTTCTGTAACATTTGATTAAGTTATTGTTTGCCCTTATTTGTCTCATCCGTCATCTTGTCGTTCCAGTTTTTCCCCCTGTTTCACAATCTTGGCATCAAAGGAATGCCTTCCGGCACTCGTCTAAAAGATAAATTAGGATGCGATTTTCAGGTTTTTGCTCCGTGGATTGTGGTCACTATTGTTTATTTATTTCTACGTTATCGTTTTTGATATACATTTTTTAATAGAGTGACTTAATTAAGAAATGCGGTTACAATGCGCAAATGCGCGTCTAGATTCGAATTCGTTACTTTTAACAACAGAGTAACTCTACGTACAAAATTTAGTTAACGCCGGAAACGACCGAAGTCGATGTTCGTTAAACAAATAATTGCGTTATTGAGGTTTAGGATCTATGTCGTGTTCTGTCATTACAAGCACGTCTGGATTTCCTAGGAAATGTGTCATGTAGACTACGAACATCCAAATACTTGTTGGTTTATTGTCACGTACATACAACATGTTGGGACTTGCAGAACACGCCAAAACCTGTCTCAAACTTTATACAAAATACTAAGTATTTCAGCAAGTGTTGTTTGTGGTGTGTTACTTCATTGCTGTGACAAGCGCAGCGAGTGATCAAGTGGATTCTATCTATATAATGCGCAAATATGGTCATAGCGGTGTTTATCCAACAGGTGTTATAACATCAGTGTGGGTGTGTATGAAAATGTGGCTTTTCGTGGTTGTGTAAATAATCCAGATATATTTTCACCGTCACCTACCGACGGGAACAGTTGAACGTCCACTGCCAACTAGATGACGTTCTTTATTATTTTTAACGGTCGTTTGTATTAAAATTTACAGCGCAACGTCATAGTTTATTTGATTTGCGAAAAACTCGTACGAGTTGTATCTGATCCGTCTAGAACTACGCGATCGTCGGATAATTTTTTTCTATGGCATGCTTGTGTTATTAATCTTGAGCGTACAAGGCGTGAAACAATATGCATCTCTTTACGATATTGTTTATATTATTTATATAGGAACTTTGACACGTCGTGACCTCGATTATTATCAGGTGTGATGTTGGAGTGGAGCTTTTTTGCGTCCGGCGACAAAAAAGTCGTACTTTTCGCTGTTCAAATAATGTAAATTACAATAAATATTGTCCGTTTTAATTACACACGCTGTTCCGCTTAAGCCGGAAATGACTTTTTTTCCGCAGTTATCTGGTACACTATACCATTTTGATAAGATAATTTCGTCCGAAATGTTTTTTCGCGTGGCGCAGCCATAGCCTTTGTGTAAGCACGAATAAATGATAGCTGATAATATTTCGGGTTCGATATCGGGTTTCATTTTAAAAGAAGCGCTTAACGGAAAGACGGGAATTCTAAAATTATCCTGAACGTTGACTTGAAGTATTCGGTGATGGTAATTTAGACAAGGGGTTGTTTTATGAATATTGACAAGTTCACTATTAAGATTGGCGGTTTTCTAACGAGGTTTAAATTCCACCCTTACGTGCACATCAAATCGCGCAACTTAATTGGTTTCCTTAAAAGCAAACACGATTTTAGCGCGCCGTGCTGGATTTTGTTGGGATTGTTTCGTACGTGAGGTGAAGATTTTTTCTCGTTCGAAAAGTGAGATTTTCATTTGCGTTCAAGGTGACAACAAACGTTTATTTTTACAATTGTAATAGTTTGCACGTTCTTACCGACGAGACTGATTATTTTTCCGCGGTTTATTGCTCCTCTTGAGAAAATAATCACGTTCCTACGGGGAGCGAAATTGTGACCGAACCCAATATAATGAATGGTCGGGTAACGGCGGCGTAAACGAAAATTTAAATAAAGTGGAGCAATTTGCGAATTTATTACGTCTCATATATCTGATTGGGAGTAATTCACGTTGGGCGGCGTTTCTTTCAAGAACGTATAACATAATAGTCGTGAAGTTTTAATTTCATAACGATTGTCGGAAGGAGTAGCTACCGCAAGCGGCGTCGTCGTCGTCAGCGTGTAAACTCGCCGAGACACTCGTTTACACGAAGTAAACTTACTGGAGTGATCAGATCGTCTAGCCGGCGCTGCATGGAAGGACAATTCGCGAACGCCGTCTTCGAGGTTGTTCTGGAGTCCGCCATCGAGGCACATACTAGAAAACCCATAGGCGTCGTACCGGGGCGGTGTATGGGTTTATTTCGTAACATTATGTATTGTTTTGTACGAATGGTATATGCACCGTCAGTTTATAACCGGATAATTATGATGTATGCCAGTTGGCAAAGTTGTGTATGGTGCGGTAATGTGATACATTATCGTAAATTTTGTTCGTGGCATCCTATTTGGACAAACCGACGTTAGTTAATACGAGATAGTTCTTGGTAAAGTTTGTTTAAATGAAAAAGCCTGTTAATAAAAAGCGAGCGCATTGGTTTTTTCGCCTCGTGTATAGGGAATAATCCGGATTTTTATTACTTCTCTTGGGGAGAATTGATTGGCGCGGATGAGAAATCTTGTTAGGTGGAAAAGATTTGATAAAGCAAGTGAGTTCACTTTTTAACATGAGCGCGTGACAGTAGCCTTACGTTGTTTGAGATCAATAGAGTGATGAGAAAGGATAAATGAGATCTTAACTTGGTTGTCAGTAAACTTTCAAATTAGATTTGAGACCTCCAATCGGAAGTGCAAATAGAAGATCGATAGGAAAAATCTAGGGGATTTTAGGGCAGCAGTGGTCGTCTTTTGATTTCCTTGCGTAAACGTTTTGATTGGTCTAGTGTTTTCGGAGTATCCGATCCCTTCCGCGCGAATTATTTTCGACGTCTTGTTTATTTAAGCTGCGACTATCATCTGTGGTTAATTAGCGGAAGTTTAGAGGTTCTAGTAAATCTATAAATGCGGTGTTTGGTCAAAAACCGAAAAAACAATATCGTTCGACTATTTTTAAATCCGCGTAATTGACGTCTTTTTTTTATTGAACGATATTGTAATTCGCACTCGCCTAAACATCTTTTATTGGTTCCGATTTATAAATAAAGAGCAATCAAAATTGAGATGTTGCGTCATAAATTCATTTATTTCACTTTAAAATTATTTACAGATCAGACTGGAGGGGCACACAGTGCCCTCACTTTGTCCAACGGACGCTGGCACCACGTTGGCTCCTTCTAGCCCAGATATGGACGATGGCAGCAGCAAGAGGCAAGCCACGAGGTAAAAAATTAATAGACATTTACGCACACTAATGGAATAATTAAATTTTAACTATTCTACGTGCTTTTTCAAATCCCTTACGATCTTTTATCCTTTTCAGGGTTTTTAAGAAAAGTTCTCCCAACGGAAAGGTAGGTTGCGACCGCTTTACTCTCAAAAAAATTTACACTTATCCCACTTCTGATGTAAGTGTTTGCGTTTTATTACTTTTCAACTCGTTCTCAAAGAGTTCTTGTTTCTGTTTTTCCACTTTTGGGAGTAAATATCCACGGGCGAAGTTCCTTCTGATTCTTTGTTCAGTTGATTGCGAGGGGATATTTTTTCTTAAACTTGAGTTCGATTCAATTTTCACGGATTTTTCTTCGCAGAATTCGAATGCGACCCGAGAAAAAAGTCTATTAAGGAAAATTCAGAACCGTAAATAACTATTTCGGCGAACGGTATGTTAAAACGAACTTGTCGTCGATTACCAAACCGACGGGAGGTGTTGATTGAGGCGATCGCTTCCCAATTAGCTGCCAAGAAAAGAAATTTTCTTTTTAAAAGTTCGTTCAGGATACCGTTTAATACGCCCTTCGAATGTAGAACGTTACATTTACAAAGCATCACTAAGCAACGTTCTCGAAGCCAAATTACATAGTTACAATGTTCATAAAGTTTCTTTGCTCTTTTATCTCGTATCATGCGACCGAAAATATTTTAATTTAAAGTTGATCGTGACTCGCTACAGTTGGTATTATTGTTGTTCTTGTGCCCTCATTTTGTTTCGTCAACTAAACGAGGGCTGACGATTCGGGCATACTGAACGAAGTTAACTCTGAATAAAAATATTTTCGCTTGCGCGATATTTGCATTTGTAGATGGATTTTTACATGGACTGTTGGTGAAAAAATTGTTTTTTTTTTAAGTTAGCATGTAAATGCGAAAACAGATTTGTTTATTGAACGAAATTGATGTTGCGGTCCGATATTCCATATACTCGATTTATTTGATTATGACGATACGTGTGACAGTGTTGAAGTTAAGAATACTCGAACATTTTTCAAAATAAGTTCATATTTGTTGTTGATTGGGTTACGTAAAGTTTTTTGGTAAAACAAGTGGCATCTGTTGGAGTGAGGCGTGTGTTTAGGAGAACTGTTTTTCTGGGATTTGGTTTAATTAAAACGCGAGGAACGTGAATTACGACATTTCTATTCGCGTTAATGTTTGTCTTGATTTCTGCATTAGTGTTCTTAGTGCTTCATTAGCCTGTGTTAAGCAGTAGTGTAAATTATTTATTTGCCCTTATCTCGGCACCTGTTATTGCTTCTAAGCTCCGTGAAACACTATCTTATTTGCGGTTTATTTAATTAAATTTTTGTTTGTTTTGACCCCGTCTTGTATACTCGAATGACGTCTTAGTGCTAGAGATATTTTTAGTCTAATTTGGTTATTCTAGAAGTGGGATATCGTCGAAGAACCATGTTGACATTATTATTGAAGGGGGTTATTTCTTGTAGATAACGGTATATCTAGGGAAGCGAGATTTCGTCGATCACATAGACCACGTGGACCCTATAGGTAAGCACTCCGATCGAATTGGTTGCATAAGCTTAGTTACTTAATAGATTCCGTAAGTTTATATAGGCTGGTTACCTCGACTAACAATTTGTTTGACGAAGACGTATGTTTATAGATGGCGTTGTTCTCATCGATCCCGATTATGTAAAAGATAGGAAAGTTTTCGGCCATGTTTTGGCCGCGTTCAGGTATGGTCGCGAAGACTTAGACGTTTTAGGACTTACTTTTCGTAAGGACCTTTACTTGGCAGCCGAGCAGATTTACCCTCCGGAGAGCAAAAATAAAAGAGAACCAACTAGGCTTCAGGTGGTTAATACCTCAAAAAAAGTTTATTCTTCATTCGAAAGTCGAATCGGTTTTTGCAGGAGCGTCTTATAAAAAAATTGGGACCAAACGCTTATCCTTTCTATTTTGAATTGCCGCCGCATTGTCCAGCCTCCGTAACCTTGCAGCCTGCTCCTGGCGATACGGGGAAGCCTTGCGGCGTTGATTACGAGCTTAAAGCGTTTGTCGGCGAATCTCAAGATGACAAACCCCACAAAAGGAATTCAGTTAGGTCAGTTTGCGTGGGCGTTTTTAATTTGAGAGCTTTTATGTAACGTGTTTGTTGTATAGATTGGCTATTCGTAAGATAATGTATGCACCAAGCAAACAGGGCGAACAACCATCGGTCGAAGTTAGTAAGGAGTTCATGATGAGTCCGAATAAATTACATTTAGAAGCTTCGCTAGACAAGGAATTGTATCATCACGGCGAAAATATCGCCGTCAACGTCCACATAGCCAACAATTCCAATAGGACAGTCAAGAAAATTAAAGTTTCGGTGCGGCAGTTCGCTGACATTTGCCTTTTTTCTACTGCTCAGTATAAATGTATAGTTGCTGAAACGGAGAGCGAGTAAGTCACTAATTCACAATTTTTTTGCAATACGAACATTCACGTGATATTTAATTTTTATATTGTGAGGTAAAAGTTAGATATAGGTCCATTTGATCTGCGAAATTTATGGTTACATAGTACCGATGCCGACCCGCTTTTTGGCGAAGCTTGAGCGATTTTGCGAAACGGTCTCACGCGAGCGGTTTTTGAAAGCGCTCTTGATTTTTTAAAATTACCGCCAACAAGTGGGTTAGATTAAAAGAGAAACTACGTAACTATCGAAATATATTCTCGAGAGTTTTAGTTGCAGGCGCTACCGAATGTACCGAGAATGGCTCCATATATCTATCGTGAAAATTATAGTAGGCTTAATTTTTTTTAATGTAATTTTTGTACTAGGTGCAACAACGGAACGACGAAATAAATGTGAAGACTTTGTTCGACTGTTACGTTTAAGAACTCAGGCTTTGTAGTAGGAAATGAAATTGTTTTATCTTGTCAGTGCAGATTTTTGAACAAAAAATTTTTTTAAGCGGTTTCAGGAATTGCTACAAAACTTGTGTTCGCGTATCGACCAATATCTTGCTTATCGTTGAAAATATTTTTTTTACGTGTGTCGATATCTTGGTGGTGAGCAGGATGTTGGTTTAGCGATAAGTGATATGGATCTATATGTAACGAGTACCGTAATTCGTGTACGACTAGGGGTTAGACCTAGCGCAGAAAATGATGAGATACTGAGGGTATTATAGTGCAGGTTGTCCGATACCGCAAGGGTGTACATTGAATAAGGTGTTCTCAGTAAGGCCACTTTTGGCCAATAACAAGGACAAAAGAGGCTTGGCCTTAGACGGCCAGCTAAAGCATGAGGACACCAATTTGGCTTCGTCCACTATGTGAGTTAATCTGCAGCTCGCCTTCCCTACTTACCATGACAGTTACCATAAGTTTGATATTGATTGCAGTAAAAAGTAGTAAACGGTTCATATCCCAGCGAACCAGTTTTTAGGTGTTGGTTTTCTTGCATGCTATCCAATAATTAATAAGGGCGATGGGATTGCAGTGTCTGCAGATTTCGCAAAATTGTCGTATACGTTTAAAATTGATTTTTGTGATTTGGTTTGGGTAGTGAAAGCTGTCCCATCGGCCCAGGCTTCACTTTGAGCAAAGTGTTCACTCTAACACCTCTTCTGGCCAATAATAAGGATAAGTGGGGCCTCGCCTTGGACGGACAGTTAAAGCACGAGGATACTAACTTAGCATCGAGTACTTTGTAAGTTATCAAACAATATTGTTACATTCGCCTCCATCTTTTTGCCAATTATATGTATTATTTTTAATATGCTTACTTTGCCTGATACGGAATATACGTTTCTAGAGAGTTACCTACAATTGACACAACTTAACACGCACAGCTTTTTAGAAACGTGTTCATACAACTCTGGATATAAATGTTTTGATACTAATGTGCATGATAATTCGAAAAATGCATTTATTTTGTTAGTTTAGAAGCTCAGCACATTATATGGAAATGGCAATTTCAGAGGCAAGTTCATTATTTTATTGTTAACAAACATTTTATTATCATCATCAAGGAACTAACGACACGGGAGAGAGAGAGAGAGAGAGAGAGAGAAAAAAACGATGATAATAAGATGTTTAACGAAACGTTATTGATTGCTACATTGTTGATGCATCATGTAATTTTCTACATAATATTTAGAACGACCCTTGTTCTTTTCAAACAATTAAACACATACATGTATTTTGTTTGACCCTTTCAGCATTAATTATTTCCTCTTATTAAATTACTCTATGAAAATCTTGTTAATTGGCTATCTTATCCTTATTTCATCGCCAGAACTCACCGCCGACAATTTCTCGATAACACTTTAAACCCACACACCTCCAACTAGTGCATGTTCATGTACTGTCGTCGCATGAATAATCAATTAATCGCTTTGCCGCTCAAAAACTAACACCTTCCAATTGCAGAGTTGCCGATCCGTCACAGAGAGAAAATTTGGGAATTATTGTCCAATATAAAGTTAAAGTTAAGTTATGTTTAGGAGCTCTGGGAGGGTAAGTCGTTTTAAAATTGCGACGTCGCAAAAACTCACACTTTTTTTTATTTATTTCGGCGCAGGGATTTAGTAGCCGAGCTCCCATTTATTCTTATGCACCCGAAACCGGAGGAAGAAACACCACCGCCTGCGCCAGGATCGCGAAGATCGAGCAAAGACGTAGGAGTAGATGTTCCTGTCGATGCCAACTTGATTCAACTGGACGCGTACGTATTTATTATTCTGAGTATGCGCATGCTGACGTCATCGTGACTGCGTACGTAAACACTGCGCAGACACGAAATGGTACGAGTTTGTCGTAACGTGTTTTTGTTTTTTTGTTCGTTAGCGACGAGAATAACTTGCAAGATCACGACGATGACATAATATTTGAAGATTTCGCTCGTCTTCGATTAAAGGGAGGTGAGACTGACGCATGAAAGAAGGTACAGGCTATGGCTATGCAGCCTGCCCGTCCATTCCAACCCATACGTACTGATGTGTATATCAGCTGCGATTAGGTGTGAACCCATGATCCAAGTGTGTGCCCTAGTCATCGGCTGTGCTGCCAGTCACAACCAGAATGCACCCATTTATTCTATTTTAGGGCAGGGGTTTTTAATAAATAAACATAATCGGAGCACTCGTTTTCTTTGTAGTTTTATTGCTTTCCACTATGCAGTTTTTCGTATGTTATTATGTCAATGAAAAAGAGTAGAACCTAGTCAAGCGTCGAGGTGAGTGCAGAGGTTAAAAACCCCTGGTTTAGGCATCAAATAACTTTTCTTTTTCGACCTCTGTATTATAAAACCGTATTCTTGCTTCTTAACATAAATCAAAGTTAGTTTTGGATGATTTTCTAACCTTTCTGTACCTTATGATCTGTGTTTTGTATATTTGTTTAATTCTATACCTATTATCAGAAGCACAGAGCTCAAAATTCGTGTTGTGTCTATCTCGCTCTCAGTACTCTATATGCTGTTAATTTCTTAATTTCAGTGCATCGATCTTTTTGAGTTGGTGGTCTATCTGTCTATTAAAATTGTGCACAATTATTAACTGGCTGTATTTATTTTCTTGTAAATAGTCGTTTTCTGCATTTGATTTTCTCTGGCTCTTATAATGGGTGTAAAAGTTTAAATTACTCGCAGAACATTATAAAATAACGCTACATACTAATTTTACAATTAAATGATAACTTGGTACTGAATTTAATTAGTAAGTATTTTGTATTACTTTTTTAAAGCACTTTTATACTCAGATATGGAAGTACTGACTATCGGTCGTAGTCATAATCCTATTAAGGCTGATAAAGATATATATTTTTTTTGCGCGTGAAGTATCGGAGTGGATAATAATCAGCGCTAATTATGATTACGATCGTAGATGTTTTGGGTAATTAGTTAAGTGCTACTGTTACCTAAATGCAGTTCAACACAACATTTTTAGGGTTAATGTTCGTAAAATGTATGTATGTTCCTCTTTTTCTGTATACACAAAGCTTTCCTAAAAATTATTTATGTGCTATCTTTGCTGTGTTTTGTCTGTTGTCTTTAGATTATTGCATTTTAGCGTTAATCAAAATCTCATTGCATTTATTTCAAAAACCACAAGGAGAAAATATTTATCACTACGCAGATGATCTATTTACGTGAGTCGAACAGTATTCTATGTTATAAGTAAATGTGATATATATATTTTTTTCATATTTTTTTAAATAATAAGCACATTTTGGTACAAATAGTAACTTTGACACAAAAGATAATTAAGTCCATATCCATATCAGTTCATGTTAATATATTTTCATACACGCGTGCCTTGTGATAAATGTATTTTCTTCGAAACGAAATCATCCATTCGCATTATGTCAAATTCCCATCATGTAGCCGCCTTAGTTTCAGTGCTAGTCTACATATTTTTTAAGTAATTTCCATTTCTTATTTACGTGTTTATTTTTGGTTCGTTCGTATTTGATAAATATTTTGTTTTGTAAAAATAATAGATATTTATTACAGTTTCTTTTTATTTTATTATGTAATCTTTCTGTAAGATAACTGTGTATACTAAGTAAATACAATAAACTAGGAGTAGAAAAAGGTTTTTCATTGTTCCCTACGTCATTACAGTGCGAAATAACGCGTGTGCGCGTATGTCACCTTTAATGTGAATTTCGACGCATTAATAATTGATTTGTGGTTGAATTTTAAATGCATTTAACCACGCGGAAAATGTCCACTTAACCCCCTGTCGATACGCCACTGGCTAGTGCATGCCGATGCTTTCCAATAGAATTGGCACTCCTGCAGCGAAGTGACAGTTGACGTTTCATTAATTCCTTAATTTGTTTTTTCTACGAGAGTTGTGAAGTTAGTTGAGGGTGTGTTCGTGTACTTACTTAAATTTTGTTTTTCTTTTAACATTCTTTACTTGGTAAAAGCAAATTGTCGATAATGCATTTGAATGCCGATATATCGAGTGCCCTGCAACTATTAGAAGATATCAAACAAACGGTAGATGATCTGAGCGATCCGAAATTACAAGTTAACACATATCAGGATTTATGTTTATTGATATCCGTGCTCGAAAATCCCGTTTTTAGAAGCGTTGTAACGGTTCAGGATTCCTTGAGCGAATTGAACCAGCAATTAGGTCAGCACCCCTCTATATTACCCGTAGACTTTGATATCACGGCATCTGGAGAGTTAGTACTGAATGTACCCCCTTCTGGTGAACTGTACGACCCAGATTACGCGGACGATTATCCAACGTCCAGAGATTTTGACGAGCAGAGAGTTCCCTCAGCGCCTATCTCTCCAGGCTCGCCTCACGTACACCCTTTCAACACCACAGACAATAAAATGATACTTCTTAATAGTAAAACGCTGAACGGCAATATTTGCAACCAAGAAACTTTGCGCTTGTTGCAAAACAACCAAGGGTTCACTGCCAGCGATGATGACGTCATACACAGGTCACCATCAATTGGAAGTGATGCCTCTAAAACGGGCTCAGACAGTTTGCTTAGCAGCGAATGGTCTCAAGTCGAAAGCATCGACCTTATCAATGACGGAACGGGGCTGGGATTTGGGATTGTAGGCATGAGAAACATGGGGGTCGTCGTCAAAACTATTTTGCCAGGAGGGGTCGCAGATAGAGATGGCCGACTGCAAAGCGGAGACCACATTTTACAGGTAAAACCGCGCTCCAAAAATGTTTGCCCGACGGCCAAAAACCTCCCCTCGTTTCGGGGCCGCAACGATTCCCCTCTTCTTAACACTCCCGGACATATCAAAACGAAATGAACCAACTCTTTATGCCCTTTGTGTTGTTTTGTCCGTTACATTCGTCACAGAAACATCAAAGAAACTTATTATCCGGGGTTGCCACACCCCGCAGATTGAAATCGTACGTTTGTGCGACGCCCCGCCGACAAACGCGAAATTTCAGAGGTTTGCGAACTCAAGCTGAGTAAAATATTACGGTACCGTCGAGACGGCAGACTCTGCAAAAGTACTTGGTTTGTTGGCGGGGCGACACCAGAATTTTTAATTCGGAAGGATCAATGAAAATTCGTAGATGGTAGTAGTTTCTTCCTCTTTTGGTCTAATCAGTACAGCGCATTTCGGTGGTATTTAATCTTATATGGTTGAGGCAAACAGACTAATTAATATCTCCTAGATCTCAGTAAATTCAACCGTGGTTTGTACATGATTAAGCCGAAGCCGAGAGGTGGCAACCCCGGTTGTCTTCGGGTCGCTTGTGGCGAGTCCCGTCATGTCGATAATCGTACTTGGCAAATTCCAAATGTTGTGTGTTTTGTAGATCGGTGATGTGAACTTGCACGAGATGGGATCCGAGCAGGTGGCTACCGTTTTACGACAATCGGGAACACACGTGCGACTAGTAGTAGCAAGACCAGTCGATATTAGTTCACCAGAATATAAGTATTTAGGATCATCAGCTCCGCTTGTGCCTACAAGACTGCTTAACGATTCGGTAGAGTTAGATCGTTATTTGATTCAGCACAAATATCCCCCGATTTTTCACAAGGCGATGGATCAAATAACGGATCTGTACCAATTTGACCAATCGAAAAGTTACACGGGATTGTCTAGAGTTCCGGCGTCTCCGTCTTTGCCGCTTCTGAATCTGGACATGGCGGTGAAGATGCCCGAGATGGAGAAGTTCGTCGTCGAGCTGAAGAAAGACGTGAAGGGATTGGGGATTACGATCGCGGGCTACGTGTGCGAGAAGGAGGAGTTGTCGGGGATTTTCGTGAAGAGCGTGAGTAAGGGGAGTGCAGCGGACGTAAGCGGAAGAATTAAAGTGAACGATCGGATCGTGGAAGTGGATGGGCAGTCATTGCAAGGATATACGAATCTTCAAGCTGTAGAAGTTTTACGAAATTGTGGAAACGTTGTTAAATTGTGTTTGGAGAGATATTTACATGGGCCAAAGTATGAACAGCTTCAACAAGCAATAGCAGCTAGCGAAATAAAACCACCAACGCCATCAAGTCCGACCGAAGTGCCACGGTAATAGATGAATACGTGGAATTTTTTAAGTGCTAAATCCCCTTAGTTGCTTTTCTCAATCGTTAAACCTTTGTCCTTTGTCTAGTCTTTACTAATCACTAACACTACCTAATGTACTAATGAAGGTGTCTGGATGTAGTAAACTGTGTTGTTATTAAAAGTATCATGTATATAAATTTCAGATATCCTAAAGGAGAAGATGGGAATTTTATTCGTAACGATGACAATACCGAGGAACCGGTTGAGGCAAAAAATGAGATATTTTGCGGATATGCAAAGAATTCTCCTGACAAACCGGCGTTGCTGAGCGAAGAAGAAATTAAGAAAAAGTGGCAGAAAGTAATGGGCCCTGAAACAGAAATTGTCGTTGCTGAATTGACAAAGTTTGGCGAGAAAGGCGGATTAGGGATAAGTCTCGAAGGTACTGTTGACGTTGAGGATGGACAAGAAGTAAGGCCTCACCATTATATCAGATCGATTTTGCCTGAAGGACCGGTGGGTAAGAACGGAACCCTCAGATCAGGCGATGAGCTGCTAGAAGTGAACGGCCACAAACTCTTAGGAATGAATCACCACGAAGTTGTCTCTATATTAAAAGAGCTTCCGATTAACGTATGTATGGTTTGCGGGAGGAGTCCAGTTAATTTATTCGACCAACGCCCTCCTGAAGATTCGACGTTTTCGGAAAGAGCGGCGCTGAATAGAAGTTTACACAATCTGTTGCCGGCTTCCGATAGGTTGGTTAAAGCGAAGTCCGACGGATCTTTAGCTAGTAGCATCGCCGCAGTCAACTCCGATAGTTCTTTCAATAAAATGAAATCCAGATCTTTAGAACCTCTCACGGGGTTAGCAATGTGGAGTTCAGAACCGCAGATTATAGAGTTAGTAAAAGGGGAAAGAGGTTTAGGATTTTCTATTTTAGATTACCAGGATCCCATCGATCCGAACGATACAGTCATTGTTATTAGAAGCTTAGTACCTGGTGGGGTAGCTCAATTAGACGGCCGGTTAATACCTGGTGATCGCTTATTATTTGTCAATGATACTGTTCTAGAAAACGCCTCTTTAGACCAAGCCGTTCAAGCTCTTAAGGGTGCTCCAAAGGGAATCGTTCGCATCGGAGTAGCTAAACCCCTGCCGATTCCAGACACAGTTGCTCACAGTTCATTAGTAGATGTGGATCAAAACCGATTTGTTACAACTAATTCTAAAGTAAATCTAGAATAACACATAAGTGATACGATCGATCGAATTATATCGTCTAATCCTCGTCTAAAAGATGATCACTTTTAAATCGGGAGTAGACAATATCTCTTGTTTCTAAATTTTTATAACAAAATTATATAGGAAGTCAGGAGTTGATCTGATGTTTGTGATATTGAGTTGCTTTTAGTTGTACTTAATCGAGATCCGTTATATTTATTGACGCTCTATTTTATTACTTGTTATTAGTCCACCGTGATACTCATATTTTCACCGTTCGGTTGATTTCTATGTAATTTTACATTTATTAGACAATATTATGAATAAAGCTATTGTTGAATACGTGGTCGTTTTGATTGAGCGCGCGCGTGCACGAACGTATACTGAAGAAGACGAGTCGCCGCTGTTCGTCCCGACAATAAATCAATAACTTTAGGTTGGTAATCCTTAGCACGTAACCAATATAGCCAACTTCGTTCCTCATTCCACTAAACAAAAGTCAAAAGTTGTACTTTGAACGGTGTACTTTGACAAGCCAATTTAACTTAGAAACAACCATAAGTCGAGTTTTACTCATTTAACGAAAATGTTTTCCCCGTGTTCTCGTCAGTTCACCTCACAGGTGGGTCTTTCATTAGTTAAAAAACCAAAAACCCGAATTTCTCTGTTTCTAGTTCACCAACCATTTAAAGAGGCTACAAAGTACCTTGGTCATCGCAGAACACGACAATAAAGGACTATTACCAATTACGCAAAACGCCTTAACTGCGGCGAAAAAACTAGGAGGAGAAGTTTCCGTTTTAGTAGCAGGAACAAAATGTGGTCCAGCTGCTGAAGCTCTTTCCAAAGCCAATGGTCTTTCGAAAGTTCTTGTCGCCGAAAGCGACGCTTTCAAGGGTTTTACAGCCGAAAGCATCACCCCTTTAATCCTTGCAACCCAAAAACAGTTCAATTACACACATATCGTGGCTGGGGCTTCCGCTTTCGGCAAAGCTTTACTTCCAAGGGTCGCCGCAAAGCTTGACGTTTCTCCAATCTCAGATGTTATTGGTATTAAAGCACCTGATACCTTCGTGCGGAGTATTTACGCAGGTATTTAGTCGAAATGGCTCGCTTCGCTCGCTGTAGCGTTTTTTGTTTCACAGGGAATGCCATCCAAACTCTTACAGCGAATGATGCTATCAAAATCTTCACTATTAGAGGGACTAGTTTTGAAGCTGATGCACTGGAAGGGGGTTCGGCGAACACCGAAACAGTCGCATCAGATGGGTGTGCTACTGACTTAACCGTTTTCTTAAGTCAGCAGTTGAGTAAATCAGACAGACCTGAACTGACCAGCGCTAAGTCAGTGGTTAGTGGGGGTAGGGGTCTTAAGTCTGGCGACAATTTCAAGTTGCTATATGACCTTGCTGATAAGCTGAATGCGGCAGTTGGGGCTTCTCGGGCTGCTGTAGACGCTGGTTTTGTGGCAAACGACCTTCAGGTTGGACAGACTGGAAAAATCGTCGCTCCGGTAAGGCCATCTTTTTTTTTTAATCCGTGTATATTTATTTTTAATGTGCTAGGATTTGTACATCGCAGTTGGTATTTCTGGTGCGATCCAACATTTAGCGGGGATGAAGGACAGCAAGACGATTGTCGCTATTAATAAAGACCCAGAAGCTCCAATTTTCCAGGTCGCCGATTATGGGCTGGTAGCTGACCTTTTTAAGGCCGTTCCAGAATTAACCAGTAAACTGACTTAAGTCGAGATGAAAACTATTTTTATAAAGTTGGTATTTTTGAAATAAAACTTGTTAAGTACGTTTAAAACATTTATTTGAAGTGTTAACAGGGTACCCGCGGTTTGGACGGATTGTTATTCCATGGTTGAATATCACGTGTTAAAAAGTACACCGAAAGCGTTAATTTGTAATTTGGGTTTTTTGGTTACAGGTGGCGAATGTCCTTGACGGGTAAGGTGTACGTATACATGCGCACCAAAATAGGTATCTGTCACGTAAAGAGTATTAATGATTATCAACATCAAATAGTCAAGTATTTTCTTATAAACAACAAACACTAACAATAAGTTACTAATAAATATATAAAAAAATAGATCCGGGGAGGGTAAGTTTTGACAACGGTGGCTAAGCCTACTTTACTACAGGTAAACTTGTCCAAAAATATTTCAACATTAACTCCAAGTTTCAATGAAACACAGAATCATGTGACCTAGATGTTCTGGAGTCTCTAACATCGACATGTGTCCGGCGTTTGGGATAAGTTCTAGGAACGCCCTCGGGATGGTCTGCAACACCCTCATAAACCAAGACGAAAAAAAGAAAAAGGAATCTTTTCTTTACCCTTTCCATTTCGCACTGCTGCACAAGCGTTATATGTTTATCTTGCAACCCATGAACCAACAGCGTTGGCACAAGAATTCGTCTATGAAAAGCCGCATCTCCCTCGGGCCAGTTTTGACCCATTGACAGATACTCGACGATTTGGGGAGGTATAGCAGATTCGGGATCACAGATACTGAAGTGTTTGCCACGAGATGAAAACAAAAAACTCCTGAAATATAAATCGTGAAATGCGGCAAGTCGTTATTTCGAACCACGTGAGTGGGCGTGGTTTGAACCACTAATAGCAAGTCGCCATTTTGAACCATGTGAGTGGGCGTGCTCGAATTACCTTTTCAAGCCACAAAATAATAATGGTTTGAATAACGTATGCACACATCCGAATGGTGAAATTTCATTATTTTTCACGGGAGCGGCCAAGGGGGTGGGTCCTCCTCCACTGATTAAAATTAACTGGGAAATTTGAGATGCCCTATGTCTATATAGAGCTGTCGCTAAGCTGCATCTGCAAAAAACGAACACATTTACGTAAAAATAAATAACGTTACTTTTGATTAATAAAAAAAAAATGATAAAAAGTACCCGTAAGAATGTCCTATTACAATACATTTTCTTTTATCGTCTGAGGCAGTGTAATGGTCAAAAATGGTAATGGTGTGAATTAACAAATTATGAAATGTGTACGAATTGGCTTTATTCGGAGCTGAGCTGTAGCCGTGTCCTAACATGTCAGGGGCAATGACCTCATAGCCTTTATTAACTAAACTATGTATGATAGACCACCATACATCTGCAGAGTTGCCAATTCCATGCAGCAAAAGAATGAATGGTCTCTACAATAAAATGAAAAAATCAAGAATGCCGTGATTTGACGCAGTCATAGTCTACCACGATTCAAAATTTTTCAACTTACTTTTTGAACGTGTTTTTTGTGCAAACAGTGCGTCTTTGTTGGTTGTTTGCTCACTGGAAGAGGTTTTTTTCGTAAAACGACGTCCTCGTCGTCTATTTTTTGGTATCCTAAATTCACAACTCCTTTCCCTTGACTTCTCAAAACACAATATTCCTGAAATGCTTCAAAAATCGTTTCTTGGATTATTCTTTCAACAAATGTCTCAACGTTGACAATACGTTTTGGAACTGCGTCAAAACTTGAAATACTAGAGAGAAAAATAAATAAATAAGTAGTACATGCGCAATCATTTGTAAAAACTACCTCTCCTTGTTTTCCTCGCCTTTCAATCGATTCGAGTGACTTGATAAAGTCGAGAGTCTGAAAGACCTTCTGAATGAACAATTACACCCGATTTTCAGCGGTTTGTTCCATTTTGTAAACCAGTACTCCTCTGACAGCGAACTTCTCTTTGATCCCTGCTCCAAGCTGTATCTAACTTTGTGGACACTGTCTGGTCCTACATGTATAACTCTGATCCGTATTTTCGCATCGACTATGAAGAACTCGCTGTTTTCAGGCGCTATGGGATCGAGGGGGTACACAGGATGTCTGAGATTCAAACTGGACAAAATTTGCTGCCAGGAGTCGAATACTTTGGGGAAACAGCTGCTGGAGTCTGCTGCAAACTGTTCGTCGGTCATTTCGTCTTATGTTACACCCATTTTCTTGTTTAAAACACGGCCTACATTCATTTACATGGGTCAATTGGTGATGAACTTTCTACACTTCCTGACATTAAAAATGGGTTTATGGGTTGATTAGTGACTCAAATACTTACGAATTGGTCGTTTGAAGTGGATTAGTCCGTTAGAATTGTTCATGTGTTAAGCTTAATTTAAATAAATTTCTTGTTTGCTTTTTTTTGTCGTGGAGTGGTGGGAGTGCGAATTTCGGCATTTCGGTGTTTTTAAGGGCGATTTGATTATTTACCACGATTCATTTTCGCACATTGTTGTTAAACGTGGATAAAACACGAAACGTTGTATGTTTAAACAATAAACAACACGATTTGTGAAAGTTGCGCGTTGGGGATTTTGTCAAACGGTTTGTAGCATCGTCTGTCACTAGGGCGCGAATTTCAATAAAAACTATTTTTGAATTACCAAAGTCTTTATTAAGTTATGACAAATGTAATCAATTAATTACAATCTACACAATACAAAAAAATTTACAACTGTTGCCACTATCGGGTTTGAGAAAGCATGTACACCTTTTGAAAATTAATAAATACAACTAATTCAAACTAGTGATACCGCATATTGACAAAAGTATCACATTTTATACAAATTATAACTAGAACATTTCTTTTTTATTGATGCATGTAAAAAAATCACTGAAAGTTTTCACAATGGAAAAATTAATTCAAGACAAGTCAAAAACATGAAAGAACTCAGCTAACTTAAAACGGCAAACGAAAAATGAAATTGTTAAGCCATTTTGTTAATTATTGATAAGTGGAGAGTGTTTAGTTGATTCGTCCATCGATCCAAAGCGTTATATCTAGCCATATTCACAGCAGCTCTCTCCAGGAAAAGAACTTGATTGACTTGATCAATACGACCCTCAATAGTACTAAAAACCAATAAATACGTTCTCACAGAAAATCAATACTTACTTATCTAAAATGCACGAAACTAAAAGATTCTCAACTTCAGAAACATCAATGTTTAGTTCAGTTGAAATAAATGGAATCTGGATCCGAGTATATGGCTTAATTAGTTTTATTAAAACTTGGGTTCTAATGTTACGAAGTAGATCTTCTATATGTTCCCTAATAAACGGATCATCCATGATATTCTGTCTGTTCTGTTTTAAGATTGACTCAAATTCATTGATATCGTTGGTTTGATAAGCATTAACTAAATTAGTCATTGCTAAAATTTCAGGATCATTTTTATATGGTTTAGCCTCCTGTGAGTCAAAGGGATTTATCCCTGACTTCATCAACCTGCAACATCACAAATAATACAAATCCAAAATTTTTTAAATTCATACATATTAGCCAGTACGAGGTACTTTAAACATGTTGTTCTTCTAGGACTTCCAGACTCGTCATAATTTTTAAACGCTTCGAAAAAGTCCGTGTGTGCTTTTTCAAATTCATCCTCTCTCAAGTGCATTTTGCCACCACACTCTTAAACAAGGTTGTTATCAAGAGAAGAAAATAGTGTTTTATTTACCTCTAATAACACCCATGATAAGAGGGTGAGGTATTGCTGATTTAATATGTAAAGACTGCTCATATAAAGTTTTCAGTTTCTTATTGTTTTTTTGTGCTGTGTACATTTGGATTTCTAAGGCATAAATTTCAAGAAGTTGAGTTCCTTTTTTCAAATCATCTTCACCGTCGTCGGTCTGACACGACTGGTGCAGCTGTTTGAGAATCTTAGCCAACTTATTAAAATCACCCCGATCATAATACAATTTTCCTAGTTTTGTGTTGGTCTTGAACCAAAGTCTGTCATTTTTAGCATCCTTGAGAGCTTCCAGCGTAGTTTCATAGAAGTTTTGCAACAATTCCATCTACAAATGCGCTAATAATAATAAAAAAATTACAAAAAAATGTATTTACATTTTTTGATGTAGAAATGTAGTCCAGAATCGAGTTGATCGATTTTTCACTGTGATTCCGTGTTACCGCACTTTTGATATACGTAAGTAGTTGTTTATAGCGGCTCATCATTTCTTCAAAATTCCCCTTAAAAAATTCAAATTCCAAAAACAGCCTTACGAATGCTGAATTCTCACCAGTTTAAAATTGATTTTGATCATTTGTTTGAGGGCTTTGAACCCCCATTCCCCCTTCTCGCCACTCTCTAAATCTAAAACTTTCTGAAAAGATGCTAAAGCGGCCTTAGGTTCCTCTTCCTTCAGAGATTTGCTGTTATAATATTGGTTCTCTAAATCAACATCTGGTTCTGAATTGCTGTCTTCAGAGTACTCCTACGAATAAAAAAAGCCGAAAATGCATCTCGCCGTAATAAATTATTAATAAATATAATGAACGTTTAAAAATAGTAGCATTATTTTGTTTAGTCTCAAAGAATTGTGAGGTTAGGTCGGCTTACCAGACCGTAATCTTCTTCATCTTCGCACATGAAGTCGTCCTCTGCGTCCGACATGGTTTTAATAGTTGGCTAATGTGATTTTTGAGGATTATTTGCGTAAAAAGGGCCAAATTTGCCCAGATGTTGCTCTGATTAGTGACAAGTTCAATTTTAAACTGTTTGACAGCTGAGCGGCACAGTGGCGTAGAAATGGAATTTCCGACCGGGAGTACAGAGGCGGAGCGACAGTTCCGTTTAAGGGTTATTAGTAAAATACCGCCGGCACGTAACCAGCCTTTTATTTTGGAGGGGCCCAGCTTGAGCACTAATTTCAAATAAGGAGGCCTTTAAAAAAGTCATATCAGTTGTATCGGCTAATTGCTTAAAAAAGTTATCGACAAAAATGTTCACGGCAGTATTGCTTTACTCAAAGAGTTATATTACAAGATAAGAACATAAGATTACTCATGGCTAAAATTTACTGTTGATCTGAAATTTCGAATTTGCTTTACTTTTTAAACTTAAAATTAATTTAAGAGGCCACCAGGAGTGGCACAGGGTTTTGCTGGGGTGGCCTGTGCCCCCCAGCCCCCCCAGCCCCCCCCCCTGGTTACGTCCCTGCTGCCTATACAATAAACATGGGACAGAAAAAGAGTCACGAGACTCAGATCAAATGTGGAAATTTTTAAATTAATCAAAGGACTCTACAGACCTTGCTCATTTTTGTTACCAACATTTGACTCACTGGCAAAAATATATTAAAATGTAGAAATCAGTGATAGAGGTACTTCTTTATGCAATTATAGTTTCTAATTTTTTGATACACCGATTTTCATCATTTTCAAAAAGGAAAAATATTCTCTATTTTTGGTGTGTCGACATTTTGAAAAGTGGTGCTGTGTTGTACAATCACAGAACTCTTACAAGTACAAATAAAGTTACTGGTAAAGCGTAAATATTTATTATTAATACCAAAAATACAACAAGTTTGTAAAATATTTGCCTCTGGTTTCAAATTAAAGCCATTTCGTAAAATCGATGCGTGGAATTTCGTCACATGGGACAATCGGATTGCTAAAATAAAGAAAAATAGAAACTACTTATTCGTGCTTGAATGGAACTTACTTATCACTAGGGGGTGCCCAAGCATTTACAGTGACATTCACTATGTAATCACTGGTGTCACAGACCACACGTGAGAGTGTAAGTTTTCTAATTTCGTCAAGTTGTTCTACAATTAACAACACATTAAGATCAAGCAGCATTTGCCAGTTTCATAGGTCACTAGGTGTATTAAATTTTGTGTTACCTGGGGTGAACGAATGCGGTTGTCCTTCTATTTCATACCAGAACCGATCGCCATTTTTCCACCGATAAAATTGTTCACCAATTATACACTCCATAACTGGGCTCAGTCTATGGCCTTCACGTTTATTTTCAAAGTTAGCGGCAACAAATAAGTCGATGTCGTCCACTGAGGTATAAATTTGCCGGACCAACTCGATTTTCTGAAAATTTATTCCATTGAATCAGGTCAGGTCATGTCAATTTGTCATATAGAGTTAGTTTACTTAAAAAAAATACCAACTTCAGCGGGCCACAGGTCGGCCAAATCATCAAAATCTTTCACTTCGACACCAGTACATCCGTATAGAACGGTTGGATATCCGGGAACACCATGATCTCTTGCCCTTTGTATATCGATGGCATTTAAATCAGTGCCGTACGGTCTGCTCATATGGAATAATTTTCCTTCAATCTATGGAGATGTCACTATGCGAAAAATTATATAACAAATAGTCGAACCTGAGACGTATAGAATGAGTCAAGAGTTTGCATTGGTTGCGTTATCACGCCAAGAATGAGCTCGTCAAAGTGGTTTTCTTCTTCTAAAATTCCGGGAGAGTTCATGTAATCGGTTAGATTGATGTGGCTAGTGGGATCCAGATGGTAACTGTACAACCTAGAGGAAGAAAATAAAAAATTGATCTCCCACTTGCATACCATTTACCCTATGATACCCTGAAGGCCAGAATGGAAGATTCGGAAAGCTGGATTACTAAAACTTATGATCACGATGTTGGGAACTTCCGGATCGTATTTGTGATAACCTTTACTTCTAGATTTTAGTTCATTTTTAACTATAAACTCTTCGCTAAGAATATTCGGCAAGAATTCATCATAAGTAACGTGAAGATAAGCTCCCACAACAATAGCTCTAGCTTCTTGATAAATAGTCTCATCATCCCATTCAGGATGAAGAGCAGCTAGAGCATCTGCTACTATATTATGTGCTCTAACTAACATCGTGTGTAACACGGTTAGTTGCGTATTTTGATTAACCCGTGCTTCACCTACAACCAAAAGTTACCTTTCTTCTCCTAGACACAACTCCACATGTACCTGCTACATAACAAACATCCGAATTGAAGCAGCTACCTTCCGATGGCAAGAAACACCTTCCATCTGACAAAGTTCTCACCAACATTCTTCCTCCTTCATGTTCCCGCAAAGATTGAGCCGTTTCTTCGTCAGATCCGTAAACCTGAGAACCATCAAGTCCGTGGGTCACTCCATTCACCTGGATTTTAGGACCATCTGGATCACAGTCGCCACAAACAGTGGTCTGTGTACGTGTGACCGCCAAACAAGTTGTGTTGAACTGAGCATAGAACGCATCGTCTTCGGGAACAGGAATCGGTAGACAAACCAGTGGATCGTCGACCTCGCAGCAGTTTCCGGTGGTCTCTAGAAAAATATCAATGGGCTAAAATTTTCACACGACGTGTTTAAGCTACCTTTGTTTACGCCAACAGCGAAATCGTGGGCTATAAATTGGGCCCATTGGGCCACAATTAAGGACACGCTATCTGGAACATCGTGGTCTTCGAATATAGAAGTGACTATTTTTCTAGCACCGGGTAGTTCGGAGCCGTCTGCTGCTACCGGTGGGAGCTCGATTCCGTCACTGTATCTGGGTTCAAAAAGTCGGACGAAGGCCGAACCAAGCATTCCCCAAGTGGGGTGGTCGAGGTTGTTGCAAGAACCATCGATCGATCTGTACTTGTAGGTTGGGTCACAATCGGCAACGTCTAGGAAACACGTATCTAGAGACTTTGGATCGCTGGAAAACAATTAACTAAAGAAGTGCAACGTTTTGGAATAATCCACCCATTAAAAAAAAAATGGTTTATACAACTTACCTGATTTTCTTAGTTCTGTCCACTGTATAGACTGGAGTAACGGGTGCTTTGGCAGCTAGTGCCTCGGCGCAAAAAATTAACAGCAATACACTTAGTAGTACTCTCATCGTTGCAGGTACGACAATGCTTAATGTAAAGAGGTGGCTCTTTATATAGTTTCACGCAGGTATATCTTATCTACTTAATGTAATTCCCTTCTTGGTAAAAGGTGGAATATTAAGTTCAAATTTCACAAAAAAAGACTTGATAAGTTTTTGCACAATATGCGCAAATAGGTGACTAACGATATTTAAATTTATATGAGAAACATGAAACAACCGAAGCAGATTTTTTTTTATTTTAGTTTTTTCTGGATCGTTCATCGGTATACCGGATGTCTTAGATAAAATTTTCACTATTGGTAGAAATATAGACAAAAAATGTCAAAAGTGCGCAATATATTTGGAACATCATCAGCATATTTTTGATTTATCTTTTTTTTTTGATAACGAAAGGCCAATTTATCTTCAAGCTTGAAGTTGATCGATTTTTAGCAACTTATTAAAAAAAATACTATGATTATAAAGACTTGAACTTTAATTTCGAGAAATATCTTTTATCGTACAGAACGTAATCCCTTCCCGAGAAAGGTGTGGTCATATCTTGGTTTATAAAGTTTACGTTTATGCATATTTCTTCACGACAGTTACTCTCAGAAATAGATTTGTGACAGTGGATAGTGTTTTGGCTTAAACACGAATTCTGAAAAGTTTAATTTAAGAAGAAAAATTGTTAAAGCCCATTAATAGTCAACTACTTATCTAAATTGCAACAGTTGTTTATTTGATAAGTGTCTTTTTTGAGAGCAGGTTGTTTTGAAATCAATAAAAGTTCAATATATTATGAAAAGTGTAAATAATGTTATCGTCTGACGGAACAGATATTTAACAGGATACTTGTAATTTTCAGATAAAGATCTTTTTCGATGAGCCTTGAATTTGTCAATCAATCAAATATAATCGTAGGGTTTTAGTTGAGAGTAGTATATTTGTAATAAATTTCGGTTGTGTTTCGAATTGCGTTTTACCTAAAATGTTCGTACTCAAATGCATTTGAAACTAGCCGGACTCCGTTTCTAGTTGCAAAGTTACGAACTGTTCATTCTCTCATTTATTACGTGAAAATTATACCTTGCTGTATATAATTTAAACAATAGTAAGTGCATTCAGGTAGAATTTCAGATCAAGCGATTTGCCGAATCTGTACTTCTCTAGTTGCTTATTAATCTATTATGTTATTGTTTACAACATTCGGTATGAAATTACACGGAATATTCGAAGCACTAATCGAAGCTCGAAAGCAAGAGCTTGGCTTCCTCATGCATGCGAAATTTGTTTATACGAGAGTTAATAACTAATCCATGCTAACTGAAAGTCATTTCCTAACTCAATAAAATTATTTATATTTAACTAATTATAACACCTATTTAACAACTAATTAAGTTAACATCTTCACTGAACCTCACCCTTACCATAAACTTTGCCAGTCTTAATTAAATCTGGCGTCTGCTGAACGGGGGCAAAAATTTTGCTTCATGTTTGCGGTTTCACTTCGTAATGTAACGCATAATTGCCAGAATATAAAATTTACTAAGTGGGTTTATTTTATTAAAAGAGTGAGAGAGACTGCAACTGTAAATCTGCATTCGTTGAAGGTATTTTTGCTTGATTAGTTTTCGTTTAACAAATGGAAGTGCCGTCGAGAGCGCTGTGGATAGAGGTAGAAATGCTCGAGAAGTGGAATATTATTTAAACAGAATGCGAGTGCATTATAAATCAAATCGTACTCGAGTCTCTATACTTTTTTACGAGTTAATTATAGTTGCGGCTAGCCGAATATCGAAGCTGGGATTGTCTGTTTGTATAAAAGAACTAATTTAGGTGAGCGCTATAAAACGCGGTCCGGTTTGAGGATTTCCGGCTCGATTTTTGGCATATATTCGCAATGCTTGCATTGTTTCGATGATCGACTTTCCCTTGAATTGTATTGCCTACTTTATTGCTGCCTTTGTATTTGATACGTTTATAAGCTATCCTGTTATATGCGGTTCGCATCGATAGCTTCAGTTTTTATTTCACCTTTATTTTGATTTTATATGCCGCAGTAACAGGTATCGACTAAAGACCGGAATAAACGCCAGAATCATTACTTATGATAAAAAGTATTTCTTTTTTTGATGGCAAAGTTTCTACAGCGGCTCACATTTTCAGATACAAAGCTTAGAGTCCCGAAGGGTTGTTTGACTGTAAGCACCGCGTGTTGCTGACATGTGATGGCGACACCTGTAAGTTGTGGATATGTGTTGATATAAAGGACCCGATGCATTTTAGGAATAAATAAAATTTCCTATCTTTGGAATTTTCGACATTACCGTATATTCCGATATTTGAGGTCGCAATGTTTATTTGCAAACCCAAACCCACCGCTAAACATAAACTTTAATTGCAAACACAAAAGAGCATACGCGATCTAGATTAAACTTGTCTACAGGGTGGTTGGTTCTAACGCAATTCGTCTTATTCTGTACTCCATTTACTGAACAGATGGAGTTGTAAAAAAGTGTGATCTTTTAAAACCACCACTATTTGACACTCATTTTCCGACTCATGTCTCGTGTTCGATTTTAAAACAGTAGGTACGGTCGTGAATTGTCGTCGTCTGGCACGCAACTTCTAAAAGACGTTATAAATTAATGCGCCTACGAACTTTAAATCTTCAAGGGTACGTTATTCTTGGTTACCTTTTCGAGTCTTTCCTCGAGCATCACATACATTCATAGCTGCATTTTTTAAAATTTGGCTATAATTAAAATTAATGTAGTATAAATTCAAGGGAGAAGCATACAAATGAAAAAAGTCCATGTTAATAATTTATTCGTGACAAGCTAACATGCAATAAAAAAATGAACATCTGTTACCTATCATGAGAAATGTTTTGTTGTTTATATTCTAAATGAAAATTGATGCCTTTTGTAGGAAGCCGCATGAGCGACATAATCGGGACGAATGTTATACCGTTAGCTTCGAAATTTATTAAAATGTTAAAAAAAGATTCGTAATCGTAATCCCCGCATTTAAGACGAGATGAGTTTGGATTATCTTGTTTTGGCAAATTTAATCTTTTTAGGGCATTACGTTTATTTATAAATAAGATCTGATGTTTCTGATCGACGATTGAAAAAGGTGATAAGATTAAACGTATCGATGTACTTGAGTTGATGGTTAAAGCAGAGACTTTAATACATAGACTGGCTGTGTCAGGAAAAACGTGAAGTTTTTCGACCGCCATATTGCTTATAACTAGAGCTGTGCGGTCGAAATTTAAACGCTGCGAATTGACCCCCACTCCGGCAGGCCAGAGGCTTGCAACCGACGTTATGTATCGCGAAGAAAATTACGCGAAAATTATTTTTCGCGTAATTTAACGGCATGTCAGTTGATGATTTTAAAATCCATATTCACGAAATAAGAGTAATAATAATTTTAATAATGTTCAGGTGTCCGTCTCGTTGACAATAAAACTATTTGTGTGAATTATCAAAAATAATCCACGACTGAAAAGCGAGAAGCGAACAAGGCAAGGCTGTAGCGATCGGCACTGTGGGCCGATAGTGGGGGTAAATAAATTTCGAACGCACAGCTCTACTTATAACCGAAAGTGCGCGAAATTTGAATTTTCAGGTCACAAAATGCAATTTAAAATGTTAAATAAAAAAGACAACAAATCGTAATTATTTATTTAGCATAACAATATCTATATGTGTATGTAAATTCATTTAAAAATATTAATGTCCTTGAAACAAAATTAAGTTCGTGAATTTTTGTCTTAAAGAGATAGCTTTTTCACGCTCAGTAGTTAAGCGGCACTCATAACCTATTCTGAGAGTCAAATAATTTCTCAAAATTAATTTAAGCAACAAATTAAAATGAGAATTATTTACGTCCAACTAATCCATACTAACTAAACAAATGTTCATTATGTAAAAAAAAAATGTATGGCCCTACTTTGCAAAGTTAAGGCAAACATTTTAGTTACCAAATCATTTTAATGGCCATATTTACAAACAATTTCGGAAGTCCCGACACACAACCACTTTTATTTCGAGGTCTAGAAACGTTCTGTGCTAGAAACTACTGCTGCTAACCACCATAACCTCGCTTGATTTGACTTAAAAGTTATAGCAATGGCGTCCATACTACCATGCGCTATGGCTTCACCAAAATGCATTAGAAATATTACTAACAGCCAGTCTATGTATTTAAAGTCTCTGGGTTAAAGCAATTAGTGCATATTTGATGGTGTCGTTTTAATGAGCTGAGAGTGTATATTTGGTTGCCTATTTATTATTTTTTCTATCATAAAAAGCTACTAATTTTAGCAATCCTTAACGTTTATGAATATTTGTCATAAAGTTGGGGAAATCTCGTGAAGGCTGTTTTTGTCACGTTCACCTGTGTTCCTGATAACACAGCAACGGACCGCTTTTTGTTTTAGTAGTCCAAAAGCTTACGATATGATTTATTTCATTTCAAGTATTTGGACGTACCGTAACTGTGTTTTGTTTGCCCTAAGGTTGTCAATTCGATTGATGTCGAGGACTTAGATTTCATCGAATGTATGTGATGTGTTGTTAACTAAAGTAGTTAACTGCAATTGGGTCAAGCGACACGCTTGGAGATAACGTAGGTTAGCGACATTACAGTGACATCAGCTCGGTTATGTAATTCCGAAGATGGTCAGATATATTTGTTTATTCGATGCGAATGAAATGTTTCCCAAGTTGGCAACAGTGATGTGTCAATGTTGACATTATGCTTCTATTTTATTCTTCCACGAAATACGGAAAACAAACTGTCACACGTCGAATGACATTTGTTATTTTTTTCTTTATTATTTACAACGAACTCTTATTTAAGGGCGTTTAGTTACCCATTATAATTAAAACGTGAATTCAAAATTAGCATATTAACAAAATTAATTAACGCTTGTACTAGCGGGTTAGGTAAATATCGTTTGACGTTAAAGATTATACTTTAACCAAGTGGTAAATTACCAGCAACGGCAAATAAATAAATGCCCTCAATGTTCTACTCGTG